CAAAACACAGCGTCCGGAATAAATCCGCAGGACGAGCGAAGTGCACGCACAATAATAGGGCAGACAGCTGAAACCAACGCATACTGAAAAGACGCAGAACACAGAAGGTTGTGCTATAAATGCATTGGTCGTCTAAGTAGTCCAGAACGCGCTCCCTACTGAGTCCTAAGGGGTCAAGCACTGCATAGCCTATTCATTCTTTTTCTCACGTGAAAAGGGTAAAAATGTTAACCTTTAGATATCATCATGAAAAGTTGATTACTTACATCAAGACAAACAAAAAATGTATTTCAAGTTTTTTTAAATTGTTTGTTAACATGGACAAACGGTGCATAATATAATTACGTATTAGCTAATTTGCATAATTACCCAAACAGATCTAAACATTGGGTATAGCAGGTGAAAATGTTTTTTTTTAATCTTGTTGACATATAACAGTAAAAGACTTAATGTTAAGATCTGAATGGAACCCATTTAGGCTACCCATGAACATTAATACAGGAAGAAGTACTTTAGAAACCAGACTTTATTAATTATTATTGCAGAGATGGGGTTTGGGCATTGAGTGCATTGTGTACGTAATTAGATTTTTTGATCCAGACACTTTTTATTTCACCTACCTTTTGTCTTCTGCATTCTCCTCACCCATGTCTCCTGTTCTTCCCTCAGACTCATCCCCCAGAAACAGTCCCACTGACCCAGCCCCAAACCCCATCTCTGCCATAATAATTAATAAAGGCTGGTTTCTAAAATACTTCTTCCTGCATTAATGTTCATGGGTAGCCTAAATGGGTTCCACTCAGACCTTAATATTAAATAGTTTACTGTTATATGTCAACAAAATTCTACAAGACATTTTCACCTGCTATACCCAATGTTTAGATCTGTTTGGGTATTTATGCAAATTAGCACATATGTAATTAGATTATGCACCATTTGTCCATGTTAACAAACAATTGCAAAAAACTTGTAATACACTTTTTGTTTGTCTTGATGTAAGTAATCAACTCAGTGATTTTCATGATGATATCTAAAGGTTAAAAATGTTTACCCTTTTCACGTGAGAAAAAGAATGAATAGGCGTATGAATGGGATATATTTGGGTCTTTTTCGAAACGTTTCCCTAATGGGATTCTTCGGGGCTTTTTTCCCTTACTCAGGACATATTGAGGATACAAAATCAGTTGAGTTTGCTTCTGTTGCAATTTGTTCAAGGTTGACCCCCATTTTGGCTTAAAATGACTGGACTATATGGTGACATTTCACTAGTGAAAATACAATTATAGATATCAACAATTCATATCCTGGAAATTAATAAAAGTTAAAACGGCTTGCCATATTGGCAGTCCTTAACATATGACTAATCAACATTATATCACTCGCATTAATGTTGTTATTGTTACAGCTTAACAGATTGCAGATGTTTCTTTCAACCTTTCTAGCTAGCTACACTATTGCAATAATATCATTCCACTTTTGCACAGTGTTGCCGCTTGGCTTTGAACGGGTTATTGGCTGCATGTAAACGTAGTCACTGTGGTACAATATGAAAATATCACGTCTTGCTGTTACAAAAGCAAAATGGAAAGTCTGACTTTCTTCTACATGGATGGATTCAGAAAGATCAAAGTTACACCTTTAAAAATCAAGGTTCCAAAGATTTAAAAAAAATTGTTTTTGCAGTGATGCCATAGAGGAATCTTTGGTTCCACAAAGAACCTTTCAGTGAACAGTTCTTTCTTATTGTAAAGAAGATTTAAAAAATCTAGAGAGCCATTTTCCACTATAAATAATCTTTTGTGCAGAGATGGATGTTAAAGGGGTCCTATAATGCCCTTTTCACAATATGTAAAATACGTCTCTGATGTCTGTGTATGTGAAGTTTTAGCTCAAAATACCTCATAAATATTTTTATATAGCTTGTTAAAATTGTCACTTTTTGAGGGTGAGCAAAAACTTACTGTTTTTGTGTCTGTCCCTTTAAATGCAAATGAGCTGCTGCTCCTAGCACAGAGGGCGGAGCTTCAACAGCTTGTGTTCTTTTACCTCACACAGACATGCACTGGAAATTTCAAAAACTTTTAGCCTTTTATGTTCAAACCGGAGTCAGACCATGATGGAGAGACTCAGGAAGAAGTGACAACATGTAGAGTGCAACAGGACATTTCTGAATGGTAATGGGATTTATGTAAATTCTAGGGTTCGTGATGTCACTAACCCGGGAGGAAAGTCGTGTAGTCCCTACCAGTCGTTTGTTGTAGTCCTTAAAAAGCAATTTCTTCCTTTAACTATCTTCCTAAAATATTTTCCTTTGCTTTGAACTTTTAACATTGTAACTGTGCAGATGTTGTTTATGCTCAAACAGCAACATTACACACTAACTAAAGTTAGAAAAGTTAAATCATAAATCAGCCACCCCTTTAAAGGTTCTTCATGGAACCACAGATGGCAATAAAGAACATTTATTTTCAAGAGGGTAGGAGCAGGTTTATTAGGCTGTCAATTTAAGACCTAATGCACGGATCCAATATGCTGATACACATCTTATTTTCACCCAACTGTTTCACCCAACAGTCACATAACCAAATGTGTGTACATGTATACCAGCCAAGCCTGGCCTTTTTGACATATTTTTGTGTTTATGAATGTTTAGGCATGCACCCCGAAACTCAAAGTATACTTTGCTTGTCTGTGTTTCACTTCGTCTGTGCACTGTACGATTTTGGCCATGATTTGGCCACCTGAGAAGATTTTTGCAAATCATAAAAAATGTCTCTGATCCTAGGACAAAATCTGTAGCCTTTGATTGTCCGACATGTTGACCGAAAGCTGATTAATGACCATTGCAATCAAATTTTGCCGGTGTTAGAAGTTTTGAGGCACAGTCCTGCAGTGTGACTTCTCTTACACCAACCGTCAAAACCAATAGGAGCACAGAACCTTATGACGCAATTAGTGCGACAACAACAAACCACCACTTGTTACACAGATATCGTCTTAGGTTTTTTCCCATTTGTCTTTTCAAGACAAGCCATGATTAGAATTAACTCTAGAGATTGTTTTTGTTTGTTAGCCACCATTTCAATCCCACATGTAAATGCAGCTCACCGTCACCCGAACATGTCACAGATGATGTGAGTGCAGCTGCCACGTCGTGGTCTGAATATCGACTTGAGTCGGCTGAAGAGCAGCTTCTATTTGAAGAGCAGAAAGTGAGAGGTTCTGCTCGAAGCCATTGTGCTGATAAATGCCGTATTAAACAACACCCCGAATAACTAATAACTCACACTGACAGAAATAGACAAATCACATTGTAGAAAATTGGGCTGTTTGTACGGGTTGAATCTGTTCATATATGTTACTTGTGACTTTATGACCTGCATTTACATTTGAACTGAATGCTCCGCAAAATACCTCAACAAGGTCTTCTCTCTATCTGTTATTTAGGTCAGCAGCAAAACATAGTATCAATTGTAAAATGAATGGAGGGCAAAAATGTAAAAGTTGGGTGAGAACTACATTAAAAAGTAGAAGGCAATAAAAATCTTCCAAAACACTACCAGGAAGTGCAAATGATTATATACAATCAAGTTTAGGGTCAGTAAGATTTTAAATATGTATATATATATATATATATATATATATATATATATATATATATAATTATATATTATTATTATTATTATCTTTTTTTATTAACAATTTTATTTAGCAAGAATACATTCAACTAATCAAAAAGACATCATAAATACATTTATAATGTTACAAAATATTTATTTTGAATAAATGCTGTTCTTTAAACTTTCTATATATCAAAGAATCCTGAAAAAAAAAAACCGTCACAGTTTCCACAAAAATATTGTAGAACAACTGTTTTAACATTGATAATAATAAGAAATGTTTCTTGAGCAACAAATCAGCTTATTAGAATGATTTCTGTGATCATGTGTATTGACTGCTGAAAATTGACATTGACAGCTTTTCTGTCACAGGAATAAATTACATTTTAAATTATAAGAAGAGAAAACAGTATTTTAAATTGTAATAATATTTCACAAAAGTACTGTTTTTACAGTATTTTTTGATCACATAAATTCAGCCTTGGTGAGCATAAGAGACTTTTTTTCTAAAACAATAAAAAATTGGGTAACACTTTATAATAACTGCACGCTATTAATCATTAGCTAAGCATTAATAAACAGTTAATTCATCATTTATAAAGCATTAATAAACATTAATAAGCAGTTTATAAATACAGCTATACATGCTTATTCTTGATTTATAAGCATATCTATAATGTGTTCAATAATTGAATTTTCATAATTAATGATCAATTTATCATTTCTAAATGAAGTATTGCTTTCTTTACAAACCAGTTATTTAGGAGTAGTCAGTGGTTCATAAGATCACTTAGAAAGTGTAAGTAAATGATTAATAAACTATTGGTCATTCATACATCTTAAATATTTCTATGTTCTGTATCACTGTGTAGTGTTGGTTTAATTTTTCTGTTTAAAAGATAACTGAGCCTTTAAATCTCCTTTGTAAATGCTTTACAAGGCATACATAGTCCTCACTTTAGATGAGCTCACAAAAATAGTTAACTGACCACTACTAAATGCTTTATAACTACCTGAATTAACCATGAATTACAGTAGAAATAAAGGTTAATAAAGCATTTATTAACACACTAACTATTACTATATGTCTGAATAATAAGATGTATGAATGTACATTTAAATAGTTTATTAATCATTTACTTATATAGATATGCTTATAAATCTGTATAAATAAAGCTGTATTTTTAAACTGCTTATTAATGTCTATTAATGCTTTATAAATGATGACTGTTTACTAATGCTTAACTAATGATTAATAGCGTGCAGCTATTATAAAGTGTTACCAAAAATTTGTACTGACCCCAAACTTTTGAACGGTAGTGTAAAGTGTTGGACAGTTCGCCATTGTCTTGGATTAATGTATTAGCACAGCTCACTCACCCTCTGGGTCCAGCTGTGAAGTACTTTGACTCTTTTTTCCCAGTCCCACCATGGCGGCCATCTTTGCCCCGAAGCTGGAGCGCCTCTTCTTGTCATCGTCCTCATCGTCATTCCTGCCCAGCGAGCACATGTCTCCACCCACACTGGAACTCTTGGTGATGACGGAGCCAGGGGTGGCCGTCTGTGCCCTGTGTTTCATTTTAGATGTAAACTTACTGTCAGCAATATCAGAAGGAGGTGATACAGGAAGAGGGAAGGAGAGGAGGACAGGTACAGGAAGAGAGAGGAAGGGTCAGGCTTAACTATAGGATTTAGGAGCAGGGTCAAAGGTGAATGACAGTCACACTGGTATAACAGCCACAGTGTATGACATCTCCGGGGAGCATCAACATGACCAGCTACAGTACTGCAGGGATGATATATTTTTCGTAGGCCAAAACCCGGAAACAAGTTGCAATTTAGCACTTCCAGTTTCATCGGACTGAAGTCATTGGGGTTTTGAATGTTTTTTTTTTTTTTGGTTAAAAGCCTGAAATAAAAAAACGAAATGTTTTTTAAAGGGGTCATAAACTGCATTTTTTAATGATTTTATAATGTTTCCTGAGGTGCAATTATATTGTTAGTATGCTTTTTACATAAAAAAAGTGAATAGTTTAGAAATAATAGGCAATTTTCCACCCTGATTTAAGCCCTCTGATTTGAAAGCTATGTTGGAAGTGGTGTGTCTGCTGTGAGACCTGAAGGTAAACGCCCACTGCTGTGATTGGCTAACATCTTTGCAAATGAAAATAAGTATTGCATGTGGAACTCTCTCGAAATCCTTTACTACGTTTTTACTATTACAGCTGGCAAGATTACCTAATTGTGAAAAGTGTTGATTATAGCATTATATTTTGATCTACTCCCGTTGCATGAAATGTTGAAGCGATGACATATACGTATGTCTGTGGAGTGCATGAATACAGTGATCTAGTCAATGCAACTCTGCACTCTCACAAATGCTTTCATCATAACTAACAGTTCAAACACGATGAAAATAAGAGATTCATTGAGCAATGTAGAAAGTGTCATTAATTATGGGAGTTTTGGCGAGAGTCCAGAACTCAGTCACTGATAAACTCACGCTGTGTGATTGACAGCTACAGAGATTATAAAGGGAGCATTCTCTGATCGCTTTCTGTGTATAATTTATTCACAATTTAAATAACAGATTATTTTAATGTTAACGTTAAAAAGCATTAATAAATTCTGTGACAAATGTATTGCTCAGTGTTAGTTTAAGTTAGTAATGCATTAGCGTTATTGTAAAGTGTGACCAAAATCTCACCCAAAACCCAAAATCTGATTTTGATTGCAGACTTGTTATTTTGTAAGAAGTCATAATGGTGTCATGAGATGTAAAGACTGTGTGCTGCTGTGTCTATTTTGAGTTCACCTGCCATGAGAGATTGCTGTAAAGAACAAAAATGTCTCTCTATTGTTTTCATATGTCTGAGGAGAAAGGTCTTGGTATGGACAGAGACTGTAATATGAAGTATTTATCCACAGAGGGACAGTTTGAAGAAAGCTTGTATAATGACCTATTTTAGTGACGTGAGACAAGCTCTTGAGTCAAACAAGGGGGAAATAATGATACAGTGACTCATCAAACTCATGCTCTCTCTCCTGAAAAGATAGGAGAAGATGGCTTTAGGCTACTAACATGAGATTGAATCCAGTGCTAGTGATCCGTCTTACTAACAGAAACGAGAGATTACTTTGTTTGTTTTTCTGTGAATGGCAAGTTTTTGAGTGAACTCTTTTTCTGGGTTTGTATCAGAAGACTTGTATGAGGATTGTTCCATTGACACCGAGTTAAAATATTTCTACAGTCTTGAAGAAGAGGATGAAGCTGTTTCTATGACAACTATCTTTAACAATAATCTTTGCTCTGAATGTTAAAGTCTTTATTAGGCAGGATCATCAGACATTAACCTTAACTGTCACCGTCCCGCTACCGGGACGCCTAACTTTACTTCACTATATTTCTATTAAATCCTAATCTAATTATGACAAATTATATATCGTTGGAAAGGTCAAAGACTTCTAAATAGATATTCTACCCCTGTTTTGTGTTACAAATTATGTAGGAAGAGTAATTGATGAATTTATGACAAGAGTGCACCTCAAAAAATCTGCATCATAATAGGAGGTCTGACCTTTGTCACAAAAAGTCGATGCACCCACTTTTAATGATTGAAACTTCTGTTTTTATGCTAAAAGTTCATAATAAAACATATAATGTAGTATTTTTCAATAAAAAATTATAATATAATATTATCCTCTAAAAATTATAATATATATATATTATCCTCTAAAATATAATATTTATTTTTTTATCGCCTTTTTTATTATATCACAGTTATCATAAATTAGGTATCATTTGAAAGCTTATAAACTCAGAATTCATCATGTGAAAACCGTTTTATAATTGAACGTTGTGTTACCATAGAAACGGTACTCTAAATTATTTTATCAGGCTCCTCCCCTTTTAGGCATCATTATATTTCATAATTTATGATCAAAACCTTTTCTAATCTTGACAAAACACATATTGTCAGAAAGGTCTGTGTCTCAAAGTTCCAAATTTTGTGACAGAATTGATATTTGGACAGAAATGTATTAATTTGTTAAGGCAGAATATATACAACTAAATTCAATGGAATTCAATGGCACCCGGTGGCTATTTTTGGTACTACGCCTAAACAAAATCTCATGGGAACTTCAATTTTTGTGATATCAACTTCAAATTTGGAACATAACTTGGTTAGATTTATGGCTTTAATTTTATAGTAATTTTAGACTAAAAAATATTTTGTAAAATATGTATTATATAAAATAAAAAATATATAGTACAGTATATTTGATTTACTGTAAATTTAAACTTCCATAACTTTTTCATACTGTAATTTTTTGAAGTGTTCTCACTTCAGCAATAATCTGCTGAGTGTTTACTTTAAAACAAGACCAAACTTGGGTATATATTCCAAAGCATTCTTGAATTACAACCATTTAAGTTTGAATAGTGCATTTTAACCCCCATTCTCAAAAAGGGGGGTGACAGCTAAGGGGTTAAACACCAATAAACACGTGGTATTACTTTAAAAAAAAAAAATGCCTCTACAACCTGATATTGCTTTGTATATTGAAATCAACAGGTTTCAGCAGGCCATATTATTGTATCTGTCTACAACTGTCTAACTTATTAAAATAGCTTAAAATAGTCTGAACAAACTTATATTCTTGAAATACTATACTTAAGATTTTAGACAAGTTTTTGTCGTTTTTAACTGTACTTTCAACACTTATATGAAAACTTTAACTAATTTTATGAAAAATATGAAAGCATGCAAACGGTTAAGATTAGACTGAAAAACTCCTTCAGAAAGAAGCGCAGAGCAGTAGGTGCTACACACAGCCAGAAAGAGCACAAGGTTTGACAGCAATTTTGCTTTAATCATTAGTTCTTCTGCTGTTTAGTAATGTGACAGTCACAATTCAACATGACATCATGACTTTGCGTAAACATACACGCCACTTTCAAGTCAAGTGGCGTGTTATCTATACGCATTTTGAGCTATCCGCGTGTATGTGCACGCCGAAACGAACCGTCATCTTTTGCGTGTATGTCTACGCCGTTAAATGTCTGAGTGATTCCGCGTGTATGTACACGCCGTTAAATGTCCGAGCGAAACGAAGCAAAATGTAGATCTACATCTGGGGAGCGATATTTTTTTTCCTAGGATGGTAGGGGAAGACTCATAAATGGTATTAACCCCAGTGACGGGTAGGTTTAGGGACGGGGTTGGGGTAGGTCATATATTTATATATACAGTAATGTAACGTTAAGTCAACGGCGTTGATAAACACGCTGAAAAGCGATTATGCGTGTTGATAGCACGCCAAAAATGGAAATACGAATTGGCGTGTCATACATACACCATTTCATGAGATCAGTCTGCACAATTGTATTTTTGCAGTATTTGGGACCGAGGAGCAGGTTTTGAGATCTGAAAATTACATTATGTCTTCATAGTGCATCAAGCCTTGTTATTTTATATACATTTAATTTTGATTTCTCATGAATTAACCAGTCTAAAGTTTTTTACACATACTGAGAAAATGTTATATTTATATTTACATAGTCTCTACTCTACCATTCAAAAGTTTGGGGTCAGTAAGATTTTTTGTTGTTGTTGTTATACGGCAAAGATGCATTAAATTGATCAAAAGCGACAGTAAATATATTTATCATTTCTTTTTCAAATAAATGCTGTTCTTTGGACTTTCTATTCTTTAAAAAAAAAAAAAAAAGTATCACAGTTTTTAGAAAAATAGCAGCAGAGCTGTTTTTAACATTGATAATAAGAAATGTTTCCAAATCAGCATATTAGAATGATTTCTAAAGGATCATGTGACAATGAAGACTGAAATAATAAGCATAAGAGACAAAAAACACACCAAAAAAACCATTACTAACCCCACATTTTTTAACAATATAGTATCTACAAAGTACTATAGGCTCGTAGTATCATTCAAATTCAAAATGTTTGCAAATGTTGGGTTGAATGTTGTGGAATTCGGTGAGAAAATTAATGGAAACATTAATGGAAACACCTTAACATGTCTCAAATCAATTCGATATACCTATTTGATCGCAAAACAGCATGTGATGTCATTACGCACAGGTTTTTATCCGCTTTAAAGCCGTTTGATGGAAACACACTTTCACCAGCTTTATTCGCATGAGTTTTTTTACCGAACTTCAGATAATTCGATTGACAAGTGGATGGAAACATGGCTTGAGATAGCAAACACGAACATGGTTTGTGTAAAATTAGCAAAACATCATTAGCTGTTTGATAACATCATTAGCTGTTTGATAACATCATTAGCTGTTTGATAAATCTTTTTGATTGTAGTCAATCAAAAAGATAATCATATTAATTACCGTTATGTGTCCGACATTGTAAAGAGCGATATCATTGTGCAGCGTTTACTACAGTAATTTGAGTAAAGTTGACCAAACCTCTGAGCTTGTGTTAGTGAGTGGAGGCGGGGTTAATTTGGATATTCATGGATATACTACATGAAGCAAGGGTGTAGGAGTTACGTTCAAGCTATTTTAAGGCATGAAGAATTTTTTTCACATGAAAAAGACGTTTAAATATGGCATTTTGGTGATCACAGTTTTTTTTATCAGAGTTTTAAGGGATACAATTATTGACTACAGGGGGACTTTAAGGGCCTTATCAGTCAAAACAAATGAAAATGGTGGGTTGACAGAAGGACTTCACGTGACAAATGAGGACTACGGCTAACTATGGCATTTCATCTTGCCACTTAATCTCATGCTGCAGCAGCTCAGTGTGTTTGTAGAAACTTGAGAAACCAATGAAGACAGAGGAATAATGCTGAATGTTTTCATTTCCTGTGACTTTTAGGCAGAAGCTATGAAATCTAATGATTGTGTCTGTATGAATGCACAATAACTTAGATAGGAAATAACCTTGTCTTGCTATGACAATGGCATTAGACTATGAATGAGACTACCCCTCATTAAAGTAACATGAATGGCCGTCATACAGTCACGTCAAACAGTAAGAGGAATAAAATATTTTGAAGAGAGCTGGTGCTGCTTTGAAAAGACTGTAACCTAATCGAAATGTATGGTACTCAACATCTGTATGAGTGCACAGAGTGCTGGTTATGTAAGAATTCATGCTACTGCAGTTGCTAATTGGTGAAAAATTCAGTTGACAACATTAAAATTCTATTTTATGTGCTGTAACGTTTTAATGATCACAAACACTTCATCTATATTCAGTTAGTGACCCACAAATGGTACTAAAAACTTATTGAAGTGGAAATTGGTGGAAATGCTTGAGAAGCTTGTTTCTTGTTTTTGCTCTAATTGGAATGGAGATGGCAGCTGTTCATGCAGAACTCCCCAGGGTTAATAAGATGACAGTGATCTTATGCAAGACTCAAACTCTTTTGGGACAATATGACGAATTAAAGGGCAGTGGAGAGTGGTGTCATCTAGAACTACCAAACACAGGATTGAATAACAAGACACATGCACTGAAAAAAAGTGAAATAACTGTGTCATTTATTTAAAGTGCATTTTTATGTTGGTTTAATCTAAAAACAAAGTTCCCTTTCAGTCTGTCATGTTCTACGTTAACTCGATACTGATGTATGAGGAGCCCACTTAAGAGCCCAATCACCCTCGGGTAGCAAGAAATCAGGCCATTGAAGATTGGCGAGTGAGATTTTCATGCCAAGCCACTCCCCCGGACATACGGGTATATAAGCTGGCTGGCAACTTGCTCATTCAGCTTTTTGCTTTGGAGCCGACCTGTTGTTTCTACTCACTCTGCCATCTGCCTTCGCTAAAGAGAGGCGATGTTCTTCTGTTGGAGAAAAGGCACATTCAGCTACTCAACACTTTGAGGCAGCATTCGTTGATGGTCCATGTTCTCTCAGTGGGGACATGACCATCATGATGTTAAGATCTAAACTCGAGTACCTTGAAACATCGGAGGGTGGGGTTGAGTGCTCCAGGGATGAAGACTCTGCAGCGCTGCCCCCTTTAGGGAGAGCAGTGCAGGTTGAGTCGGACCCAGAGTTGACAGCCATGCTTTCCCGGGCAGCTGCAAGTGTCGGGCTTGAGTGGAACCTTCCACCTTGCCCTGAACTCTTGGGGTTGAATGACTGGTTTCTCGGCGCGGGGTATGCTCTAAAGCATCATCCATCACACCGATCTGTTGCCACACTTTCAGCCTGTGGTCAGACCTTGCATTTCTATGGGCAGGGGTACCCTTAGAATAAGTGTCCAGCCATGTTGTTGTCACAACAGATGCCTCCAGGTTGGGCCGGGAAACTGTATGCAACGAGCATGCAGCTTCGGGCTCCTGGACAGAAGTTTCTAGCAGTACTGCTAGCCCTGCGCTGGTTTCAACCGTTGCTGCAGGACAAGCACATATTGGTCCAGAGGGACAACACTGCAATGGTGGTGCACACCAACAACCTCCTCCAAAACCCTTGGCAGTTGGAATTGGCGGAGGAGTCTGACGCTAAGCCCAATACTTGTGTACATGTCAGCTCCCTTGGTCAGGGTATGGGTACTGCGCTAGGTGCCCATAAGTAGTTGAACCCCCTTGGGTAATATCATATGTGCATTCTTCCAGAATAGTTTTCCTATTGGTAAACCTGTGTCTTTCCCTTGACAGTGTCAGCTCTGTCATAGCTCAGAGTTTGTAGTAGTTCCATCCCTTTCCAGGTAGGACCTACCGCAGAGATTTCTTCCATATGTAGTACTGCCCCAAGGGTCAGTCCATATGTGTATTTTCAACATGTTACCTGTAGCGTCTCTTTCCATCTGGACACTTCCCCAGTGTTATCCAACCAGTCGTGGCTGAATAGGGTAAAGCAGAAAGGAACAGTAGCTATTGATCTTCCCCTTATAAAGTTCTGTCCTTCCGTCCCACCAGGTACAGAGGTCTGTTCGACTTACATTTTGAGCTGGGAAGGGTCACCGCCCGGTTATGGCACTGTCCATAGGGAGCCCATACGTCAGTATCGACGTAACATTAAAATCTGACTGACTAAAAGTGAACGTTTTGTTTACTGTTGTAACCCTCCTCCTATATATATATATATATATATATATATATATATATATATACACATATATACACACAGTAAATATACTGCTATACAAGCAGCACATTGACTACTCTAAAATATAAACAAGTTTCATTTCTATAGTATTGTCCCTTGAGAAGATATACTAAAATGTTTATTGGAATGTGAGCGATGTACTCACTTTCGTGAGATACTGTATATACACACTGCTGTTCAAAGGTTTGGGATGAGTAAGTTTGTTTAATGTTTTTAAAAGAAGTCTCTTATGCTTACCATAAGCATTTATTTGATTAAAAATACAAAACAGTAATATTGTGAATTATAACTTAAAATTACTTCACACGATCCTTCAGAAATAATTATAATATGCCTATTTGCTGCTCAAGAAACATTTTTTTATGATTATCAATGTTGAAAACAGTTGTGCACATTTTTTTCAGGATTCTTTGATGAATAGAAAGTTCGAGAGAACAGCATTTATTTCAAATATAATATTTTGTAACATTTTAAATGTCTCAATTGATTAAAATTCTCATTGACCCTAAACTTTTGAACGCCAGTGTATAATGTTACAGAAGCTTTCCATTTCAAATAAATGCTTATGCTCAAATAAACTTTCTATTCATCAAAAAATCCTTATTTGTTTTTACACTGTTTTCAACATTGATAATAATAATAATAAGAAATGTGTCTTGAGCAGCATATTAGAATGATTTCTGATTTCTTCATGTGACAGAAGACTGGGGTAATTATGCTGAAGATTCAACTTTGCCATCACACAAATAAATCACATGTATTCAAAAAGAAAAGTTATTTTTAAATTGTAATAATATTTCACAATATTGCTGTTTTTTCTATTTTTAATTAAATAAATGCATCCATGGCGAGCAGAAGAGACTTATTTTGAAAACATAAAACGAGAATACAGCAAAATTATTTAACTAAACCAGGTTTGTGACAAGTTAATGCGTTGCGCCTTTCATTTAACATTATTAATCAGCAGATTAACTGATACTGCTACAATATCTGATCTTACCTTTTTATATTTATATCAAGGTGGGATAATTATTTACTTTTTTTTGGTAAATACTGGTAAAAATTCAAAAACAATTTTGAGTGTTTAGGATTTTTTCTTTTACAAAGTACTATGGCTGACCTAATGGAAATGTAAAACTGTTCTAAAAAAGTATTGTCCGGACCTCCACTAGGAAGGAAATATAGATACCGGACCTCTTGGAACTTTATCTTAATACCCCTCCCCTGATTTAGGGGCATGATCAGACTGGGGAGAACATTAGGTGAGGACACAAACTGGAGGACACTAAGCTGGAGGACATTAGCTAAAGGACACTAGTTGGAGGACATTAGCTAAAGGACACTAGTTGGAGGACATTAGCAGGGGTTTATGAAACACTCTGCTTCTAACCTCTCAGGTGCCTCCTGTTCTTCCTCCTCCTCTGGGTTTTCAGTAGACAAACCCACCCCCCCATCATGCCCCACCCCCAGCGCGCTTGTTGTAGTTGCTTCCACCTGCTCTTCCACAACAACAGCGCCCTCTTCTCCCTGACTCGGAAGGGCCTCCGCACGGCTGACATATACACACACGGACAGTCAGACAGACACACAAACACATAAACCAAGCCATGACATCATGAAAGGAAGCATGCAGGACAGAAAAAGACATAGAACAGACAGCCATGAGCTTGGCAGACATGCAGATGATGAAAATAAAAGAAATCTTTAACAAGATAACAGAGTGAAAGTGTGAAAATAAATTGACTCTCCTAATTCTGTGACAATAAAGGCCACAGAATGATGCTGTCATATACTTTGAGATTCTCCAAAGTCTCAATCCTTCTGTTAATGGGTTAATCTTATAAAAATAGAGTCCAATTACAAAACATGTCCAATTCATATTTCAATAATACACTTTAAGCTTATTTGTAAAATGAAATGTTTTTGCTTTGTATTGCAACATTCATGAAAAGTAAGCTTTTCTACACACAACTCTTATTAGTGTCATGTAAAAAAATCTGCACAATTCTGTGATATGAAAATAAAACAATGTTATATCATTTAACTAATTTAAATTAATTGTTAAAGAAATTAATACTTTTATTCAGCAAGGATAAAATTAAATTAAATTGATTAAAAGTGACAGGTAAGTCTTTTAAATTGTTACAAAAGAAGTCTATTTTAAATAAATGCTGTTCTTTTGAACTTTCTATTCATCAAAGAACCCTGAGGAAAAAAAGGTATCACGGTTTTCATTGATAATAATAAGAATCATATTCGAATGATGCAGAATATTCTGCATTATGCAGAATATTTGTTTCTCTATTGATTTTGAGGTGAAATATGAGCTGGACATTTCTTCATTAGAGTCACCTATACAAGTCTATTCAAAAACATGTGATGTCATCTCAGCCATTGGTAAACACACTCTTGGAAAGTTCAGAGGTTTGGTTCACTTCGCAAGCAGGCAGAGCCACACCTGAACTCATCAGAAGCACAGTAAGTGTGACCAGAGGGTTTGTCCATGGCTGAAGATACATCCACAGGTATAACAGGTCAGTGGGTTTATTGTGTGCCTACCTGATCCTGCGGCTCGCTCGCACCCTTTCGGATTGGACAGACATGTAGCTCGTGCCGCTAAGCCGAGACGCACTCGACATAGCGGACACGTCGCTTACATCACTGTCCGATGACCTCATGGAGAGACTGTCCATCCCCTGCTGTGAGAAAAAAAACCCCAAAGCTAATTTATACATTAAAATAATGTTGCACAAACTGACTTCAAAATAGAAACGAAATAAATCTCAACCATGGTCCAACAGTGCCCAACCCACTTTTTCAGCTTTTTCCACAGGGATTTAAAAAAAAGTCTTTGTTAAAGCAGTATGCCATGAAACAAACCAATCAGCTATGAGGTGAATCACTACAAATGTTTTTTGAAGCAAAAAAATCTGACAAAAAGACAAAAGTTTAAAGACTGTCGGCTTTAGTGGGGGAAAGAACTATAATCCAATGAAGCATTGCAAATGACAATCAAATTAAAAACTATGGTAAAAAAATTAAACTATTTATTTTAAGTTGTTCATTATGAAACAATATTTTTTAAGTGTTTTGAAAAATTTGCACAAATAAATATAGATTTATAAACTTATTTATTTAATTTATTATTAAATATTTAAAGGAGCACTTCACCCATTTCAACATTAATCTTTATTGAAAGTGGGTCATATATGTAGTCGAAATGTAAAATAAATTTTGAATTTGGTGCCCTCTTGACCGAGAAAAGACAGAAAATAACTTTTGGGCGCATTTGTATGTAAGACAACAACTCCCACAATGCACCACATTGCACAGCTCCGCAAGCCACTCCCACTAATCCAGAACGATCTCGGTTACTTCACTGTAACCTTGTTCCCTGAGAAAGCGGAACGAGATGCTGCGCTGCTCAGCGCATTGGGAACGTCTTTAGTTGTGACCAGCTGTGAATATTGTGTGTAACACGTCGATAGAATTGACCCGGAGGTAATATAGCCTCGGTCGATGACGTCATCGGCGCGCACCCGCAACACGAGGCTATAAATAGATGAGCCGCAGGTGCATCGTCAGGATATTTTGTCTGAAGAGCAGTCCTGGGACATCTTCAGCACGGCAAAGTAGCGCAGCATCTCGTTCCGCTTTCTCAGGGAACAAGGTTACAGTGAAGTAACCGAGATCGTTCCCTTTCGAAAGCTACAATCGATGCTGCGCTGCTCAGCGCATTGGGAACGAGAATACCCACGCCGCCGTGCTTGAACATGTCTGGACCCCAACGGTTGTGCATGTGCTCACAAGAACGCAAGAAGGCCTCAGACACTAGCCTGTGATGTTGACTCAAGGACATGAGAGCCCGGAGTGGCATGAACATCCAAACTATAAAACCTTATGAATGTGTGCGGAGAGGACCAACCTGCCGCATCACAAATCTGTTGTAAGGGGGCACCCCTCGCCAAAGCACTAGAAGAAGCGACCCCCCTGGTAGAGTGAGCTCTGAGACCTATAGGCGAAGCTTGACCGCGCGCCTCATAAGCCAAAGCAATTGCATCCCTGACCCAATGAGACATGGTCTGCTTGGTGGCAGCTCCTCCTCTGTTACTACCACCATAACAGACGAATAATTGCTCTGACTTACGGCACTGGCTAGTGCGGTGGATGTAAGCCTGAAGAGCACGGACTGGACACAGTCTATGAGATTTCTCCTGCTCCGGCGTTGTAAACGGTGGAGGACAGAAGGCTTCTAGAATGACCGGATGTACAGACGAAAATGGAACCTTAGGCAGGTAATCAGGATGAGGATGCAAAATTACTTTCACCATTCCTGGGGCAAAGTCTAAGCAGGATGGAGAGATAGACAGAGCCTGCATATCCCCAATTCTCTTCAAGGAAGTTATTGCCATTAGAAAAACCATTTTTAGAGTCAGAAGTTTATCAGACGCTGACTCTATAGGTTCAAAGGGGGTTTCAACCAGACCCTCGAGGACTATAGCTAAATCCCACGAAGGGATCTTGGTTTTTACTGGAGGCCTCAGTCGCCTGGCCCCACGAAGGAAGCGAGAGAGCAGAGGATGTCTCCCGAGCGGCGCCCCGTCAACCAAGGCGTGGCAAGCCGAAAGAGCGGCCACATAAACCTTAAGAGTAGCAGGGCATGTGCCTGTTGATAATTTCTCTTGCATGAAGTCCAGAACTGAAGCAACCTGGCAGTTGACTGGATCTACATTGTGTACAACACACCACCTTTCAAAAACACCCCATTTACTGGCATAACTTTGTCTAGTGGAGGAAGCCCTAGCACTCAGAATAGTCTCAATAACAGCAGGCGAAAGCCCAGTGTCCCTCAGTTGGTTCCCATCAGGGGCCAAACATGAAGATTCCACAGGTCGGGCCTGGGATGGAATATCGTGCCCTCCGCCTGAGACAGAAGGTCCCTCCTCTCCGGAATCGCCCAAGGCGAGCCGTCGAGGAGAGATATTATCTCCGAGAACCACACTCTGTTCGGCCAACGTGGCGCTATCAGCAAGAGGCAAGACCCTTGTTGGCGAACTCTGGCTAGAACTCCCGGGAGCAAAGAAACTGGAGGAAACGCATACAGGCGCATCTTGGGCCATGAGTGCGCCATCGCATCCAGACCCAATGGAGCTGGGTGACTCAGAGAGAAGTAGAGGGGACATTGCGCTGTCTGCTGGGAGGCGAAGAGGTCCACCTCTGCTTTGTAAAATTTGGTCCAAATCTGTTTCACTACTTCCGGGTGGAGTTTCCATTCCCCTGTCGGTAGTGTCTGTCTGGACAGTAAATCTGCTCCCACATTCAAATGCCCTGGAATGTATACTGCCCTGAGTGACAGGAACTTGTCCTGGGCCCAGAGAAAAATCTGCCTCGCTATTCTGTTCAGATTGCGTGAGCGCAGACCCCCCTGGTGATTTATATAAGAGACTGCTGCTGTGTTGTCCACCCGCACTAGGACATGACAGCCCCTCAATTGATGGAGAAAATATTTCAGAGCCAGAAATACGGCCATCAACTCGAGGCAATTGATGTGCCAATCGAGCTGATGACCTTCCCATTCCCCTTGAGCTGGACGGCCATCTAAGACCGCTCCCCAGCCCATCAGGGAGGCGTCCGTCGTTAGCAGTCTGCGACGACACGGCGCCCCCAGAGTGGGACCCAAGGCAAGGAACCGGGGTCTGACCCACAGAGATAGTGTACGAAGCCCGCGGCGCGTCACTTTGATGTGCCTTTGAGGATTGGCTCTTGGATGAAATCCTCTGGCTTTTAGCCACAACTGAAATGGTCTCATGTGCAACAGCCCCAGAGGAATCACCGTGGATGCTGACGCCATGAAACCCAACATTTTTTGGTACTGACGAACAGTGAGTTCTTGGCCTAGCCTGACTTTGCTCATGGTCTGCTGAATGGTCTCGATTCGAGCGGGAGACATTTGTGCCCGCATCGTGACCGAATCCCAAACAATCCCGAGATAAGTCGTTCTCTGGGCAGGAGAAAGAACACTTTTCTTGGTGTTGAGTCTCAACCCTAGAGCAACTAGATGAGCTAACACGATGTCTCTGTGTTGGAGCGCCATCTCTCGCGATTGTGCTAGTATCAACCAATCGTCGATGTAATTCAAAATGCGAATGCCCTGGAGTCGTAACGGAGCCAGTGCTGCATCCATGCATTTCGTGTATGTGCGGGGTGACAAGGCCAGGCCGAATGGAAGAACCCGAAACTGGTACGCTTCGCCCCCGAAAGCGAACCTCAGGAATTTCCTGTGTTGTGGCAATATTTCTATGTGAAAATAAGCGTCCTTCAAATCGATCGTGACGAACCAATCGTGATGTTGAATTTGCGTCACGACCGTCTTGACGGTTAACATCTTGAACTTGAGCGCTTTGACTGTACGGTTTAAGCCTCGAAGATCTAAGATTGGACGCACCCCCCCATCCTTTTTGGGAACCAGGAAGTATCTGCTGTAATAGCCTGACTCTCTCTCTGGAAGAGGAACATGTTCTATGGCCTCTTTGCTCAGAAGGGTTTGCAGCTCTTGCGACAGTACATGCATCAGCTCCGGTTTCACGGAAGTGAAGACCACGCCGTTGAAACGTGGAGGACGACGAATAAATTGGATTCTGTATCCTATCTGTACTGTGCTTAATACCCACGCAGAAATGCCTGGCAGAAGTTTCCACGCTGCCAGACTTTCTGAGAGTGGTATCAATTTTAATACTTCCTTTTGAGGGGATGTTGGATGTTCCGTGTCCTGAATGACGGCAGGAAACAACGGAACATCCAACATTTCGCTGGAAACCGCTGCCCCCCGAAGCACGAGAGGTGGCAGGGATGGAGAGGTTTTGTGAGGGTAACGGGAAGGGGCGAAAAGATCTTGCATGCGCCCCATCCCGTGGGGGGCTACCCCCACCAGATTGGGCGCCAGACCATCAGGACTTCTTCTTTCTGTTAATGATAGTCCTGAGGTCTGGCTTGGGAGGTTGCTGAGCACGGCGAACCTGTCCCCAATCCCTGCGAGGGGGAGCACGGTCCGCTACACTCTGCTTCTTTACCTCCCTAGGTTTTGAAGGACCGGGGCGGGGCTGGGTGGCAGACGGCCCCTCCCCTTGAGTGCGGCGAGGAAGAAACTGAACAAACGCTTCCTCGTGTTTCTTAACTTCCTTAAAGCGGGTGACAACGGTGTTCACTGAGTCACCAAACAGCCCAGATGGAGAAATAGGAGAGTCAATCAGAAACAAACGATCTTTTTCCTTAATCCCTGTCAGATTAAGCCACAGATGCCTCTCCGTGCTGACTAAAGCAGACATTGAACGGCCGATGGCACGGGCCGTCTGCTTGGTCGCACGAAGAGACAGATCTGTGGCACGACGAAGCTCAGAGAATGACTCTTCGTCGATCGTACTGCCCGCACTCAAATCCTTCAACAAGTCAGCCTGGTACGCCTGTAACACTGCCATAGTGTGCAGCGCAGCACCAGCCTGACCTGCAGCTTGATAAGCTTTCCCCACTAAAGATGATGTTATACGACAGGGTTTAGTGGGGAGGGTAGGTTTCTTTATCGAAGATGCCGAGTCGGGAGAGAGATAGCTCGCGAGCGTCTCTTCAACCCGAGGCATCTCCGTATACCCCCGCGCCTTTGCACCCACGATAGTCGAAAAAGTCGACGTCGAGGGCACAAACACGCGAGAAGTATATGGTTTACTCCATGACTTAGATAGTTCGTCATGGAGGTCCTCGAAAAAGGGAAGAGACTGATGTTTTGGTCCCTCCCCTCTGCCACCGGACAGAAACCTATCCCCTAATTTAGACTGCTTGGGGGTCTCTTGTTCGCGTGGCCAGTCAAGCTGTAATCTGGCCACCGCGCGAGTAACCACCTCGAGCAATTCCTCGACAGATTTCTTTTCACGAGAGGAATGCTCAGAGGCTGGTTGCTCGCGGTCCGAAGACCCAAGAGATACATCATCCCCCTCGTGAGTCGAAGAAGCACCGGAGCGCGCTTCGAAATCACGAGAAGGGATGTGTGGATCTGGTGACGCAGCAAGCGAAAGGGACGGACCCGTCTCTTGCTCGTCATGCAGATCCATACGAGAGCCCCACGATGATAATGCGGGTGCGGTCTGGAAATAGTTCAGACGGGAGCGAAGCATCTTAACCGTGAGCTGGTCACAATGCTCGCACCCGCCCTTCTCTATAGCCAGAACCGCGTGCTCTTCCCCCAAACAAACAAAACAGTAATCGTGTGTATCCAGCTCAGACATGGGACGGGAGCATGGAGGAACACAACGCTTACTATTTTGTTGGCTCATTTCTCCTCTTTTTTTACTTTCAAAAAACTCTTTGATGTAGCGTGAGAGAAAAAAAAAGATTTGAGAAATGAGAAATTTTCTGCACACTGCCTGACAAAACTAACTCCTAACAAAGATCTGAGAACAGATGAGAGATAGAGAGAGTGTTTGCGTTCACACATGCACAGAATGGTCTGAAGACAAAAGACCTGACGATGCACCTGCGGCTCATCTATTTATAGCCTCGTGTTGCGGGTGCGCGCCGATGACGTCATCGACCGAGGCTATATTACCTCCGGGTCAATTCTATCGACGTGTTACACACAATATTCACAGCTGGTCACAACTAAAGACGTTCCCAATGCGCTGAGCAGCGCAGCATCGATTGTAGCTTTCGAAAGGGAACAGCAGCGCAAACATCACAAATCACTCTTCCGTCTACAAGGCTAACGTTAGCTGCCACCAGAGTTAGAAATTCATTTCACACAAAATGTATAGTTAGTTGGCTGTGGCGAGCAGGACGAGGGCGAGCCGAGGCACGTGAGATGACTGCGCGAGGCCGGTGGCGTGAGTGATAATGAACGACACCGATGAGACGCACCGGTCTCTCTCGCGTCTCTCACCGAGGAGCGGACGCATAAAACGAGGAGCGACAGGGCAGATCGAGTGAGGAACAGGCCTGATTTTATGTTGTGTTTTGTTTCTGTTGTGTGTGGCCAACAGTGAGGGGCTGCTGGCTTATACTTTTGTTTTGTATTTGTTTATTTTACTATTAAAATGTTTAAATGTTTGCCGGTTCCCGCCTCATTCTTCCCACAACAACGAACCCCGTTACATTGGCAAACTCATTAGCGAATTACTCCTCGTTTGTATTTCTTTCTATATGGTGAATTATTGCATGATACCTGGTTCAGTCAGAACATGCGGTGCGACACGAGGATGGTTCACATCACAACACAAACGTCCGTGTGCTCGTCTGATTCAGAGATTTCGTCCAGGAGAAATTGCTATCGTTGAAATTCTCTACAGCAGACGGACTCTATCTGTGTCCGTAGCGCACAGCGAGAGCACAGGCACCAGCAGTCCGCCCAGCTCAAGACAGCCCGGGCTCCTCGTCCGCCTCCTGTTCCTCCATCAGCCTCAGCTGCTCTTCACTATATTGCGGCTCGTATAAATAGCCACGAACATCAGTTTCGAGCAAAAGATTTTCAAAATCCTCGTCTTCCATATCGTGTGTCGTAAATTCAGGCATTATGGTAAATCTAACTCCTTGAGCGCTTGTTAGCTTAGCTTGCTGTCTTCCAAGCAAGATGGCGGATTAATAGTTTAGTTTCTTCAGGTTTAGTCCCACCCACTGATCTGTAATAGGCCAGTGGGGTGAGTGGGTCCCACGCCCTTGAATAATAATGAGCTAAAGGCTGTGGTTTTCTTAATATGCAATGAAATTTATCTTCCGTCCTATCGTGACGCAAAATGACGATATTTACGTCACGATAGGACGGAAGTAAAACACTTAAATCCTTTTTTCTCCCATCTCATAAAAAAAACAAGCAAAATTCCACCATCATTATAATATATGACTGGGTTTCTAACAATACAAACCTTAATGCAAATGGGTGAAGTGACCCTTTAAGTATTTTGAGTGTAGGGGTTGCGTAGATCTTTGTTGGCGCGATTTGCCCGCTTTATCTCTCTGATTGGTGGAATTTTCTATACAGCATCATGGGCAATGTTTTTAACCAATTGAACCAACAAATTCCACTGATAAACGTGATTATTTTATAATAAGTTGAAATAATGGAAACAGATGGCTTAAAAAAAACATATATCATCGATTAACAACCTTAGAGCTCACAACAGGTCTGTCTTTAAAGGTTTTAAAGTTATTGTTATAAATCAGTTTCCCGTGAAAAAATGAACATGACCAATTAACGTGAATTTTGCTCTCTAGAGTTTGATGTTAACATGTTGCTAAGCTGACACTAATACTCTAATAACCATACAAATCAGATTATTTTAACTATTCAGTACTAAATGAAACATCAGTATATTTTTGGTCAGAAGTTCTTTACACCATCAGCCATCTCGGATATATCTAAGATGTTTTGGATTGCATTCTGGAATTGAATTGCATTATCCAGGGTTAGATTTTGGTCCAAGGTTTTGGTTTGGTTTGTCTGTTCCTAATTACCGTAGAAAGTGCATTGAATGCTGTCTTGGTACGCAACTCACTAGGTTTTAAAACAACCAATAACTAAAATGTTTATAAAAGTCACAAAGGATGTCATATTCCAGAACACACACAGATCTGACCTGACAAAAAAAAAAAACAACAGTTTTTATAACTTCCGTCATTAATCAAAACAGAATAGAGGACCAAGTGAAGTGTTTGTAACATATGCAAGAATTATGGTACAGTGCACACGTGCCTCTGTTGGAGATCAAAATAAAAGAGACGTGTTATATAACTACAGGATTCTCAGTGCTCATCTTTTCTTATAGTAAACTCAACACGAGTCATGGTGGTATATTTCAGCAGTATATCAGGAACACGTTTTTTACAGATACTTGACACTTTATGTAACCATGAGGTACAGCTAATCAGTACTTAATATAAATGTCTATGTGAGGGCCTTTATATTGTGTCCTAATCAGGCACAACATTGTGTCCTAACCAGCAACAAACAGTAACTCATTAATGTTAATCAGAGAGCTTTTGTGAAATATTATTAGAATTTAAAATAAGGGTTTCCAATTAGAATTTGTTTTAAAATGTCCTTCATTTCTATGATGGCAAAGCTGAATTTTCAGCATCATAACTCCAGTCTTCAGTGTAACAAAATCCTTCAGAAACCATTCTAATAAGCTGATTTGCTGCTCAAGAAACAATTCTTATTATTATCAGTGTTGGAAACAGTTGTGCTGCTTACTATTTTTGTGGAAACCATGGTAAATTCCTTTCAGGATTCTTTGATGAATAGGAAGATTTAAAAGTACAGCATTTATTTTAAATATAAATATTTTGTAACATTATAAAACGTCTTTACTGTCAATTTCCATCAATCAAATGCATCCTTGCTGAAGAAAAAATATGAATGAATTATTTTTTTTAATCTTACTGACCCAAGTCTTTTGAACGATAGTGTACAGGCTGTAAATTACAGACTCTGAAACAATAGATATACTGTTTAAAATTAAACAAAAAATACACAAAATTAACTGGTAGTCAAATGTTATTGAATGATGTCTTTAATGTGATTCTCTACACCTAAACTTACTTTGTTTGGACACATGTGTGAACTTGAGGAGAACTAACTTCAGTTCATACATCTAAAATCACCAAAACACCAGGTGATTAAAAGTTGTTGCACAAATTGCTGATATTTTGTATCCAAATATTTTGGGCCCGTTGTAGCAGTCATTTTCATTTTGCTTTGAAAATTGACAGAGAAACATCTTATTGTACCTGGTCGGGACACAATGTAAGGGACTTTACTCCAACTGAAGAGAACATTCCTTACTGGAAAGTAAACTATTCTCAGTCCACTGGTGACAAAGGCCAAACGTCTGGCATCGGACATGTTTGTAAACGCTTAAAATATCACCTAAGGGAACTAGGCAGCAAATGATACACTGGCTGAGACTTCTCGTCTCTACAGGGTTATTCTAAAAATTCATGAAGTCACCATAAAGAAAAGCTTCAAACAAACAGCCCCTCATCTATTCCCAAATATTAAGAATACAATTGCTTTACTGTAGAAAAACTCAAGCAATGACAGAAAGAAACATACCTTTGATGGATCCTTCAAAGTGCCTGTGTGACAACAAAAGACAAAAAAGTTAGATGTATTGAAACCCATTACACAGAAGCACAGTACTGTATGTAAATTAGTAAATGTTGCTTGTTGATACAAATACACATCCAACAAACTCCGAAGCGACACACATTAGACAACAGAAGTTATATGGACAGCATTGTTCAACAGTAGGAAATTATAGCTGATCCAGTCCAACCCAAATAAACATGTGAAAGAGAACACAATGCCATTAAGCAACTGAATGAAAATTTATTTGACCAGTCATTTAAAGACCCTATGAACTGGTTTTATGAATGCAAGTCACACATGTCTGTGCAGGAGATGATGTCATCAATAATTCAGGCAGAAAAAAAGGAATGGACTGTACTTTGTACCATGTACTGTATTGTATATCTGCTAAAGATTTACTTTGTCAGCTTTTAGGAGTACACTTGCATATGATAATATCAAAGCTAACACACATGAGCTCATAAAAGAGTAATGGACTAAAAGCCACTAAATAAATAGATAAATAAGTAAACAAATCACAGATTCTCTAAGGAATAGAGTACAACAGTGGCAACCAACTTTTTCAGCGGCACTGGTTCCGGAAGTATTTTTTCCATTCATTTCTCCGATAAGGATTTAAAGAAAGTCTTTGTCAAAGCAGCAAAGTGTTTGGAAATCAAACAAAAATACAAAGGTACAAGACTGTGTACCATACTGCCGTGCAAAGGCAAAAGACCGTAACTTCGTGTTTGGTCGAAAATTAGTTTTTTATATTTTTGGCACATTCAAGACCCCCTTTATCATGTGGATAAGTATCTTGAGTCAATTCCGTCGTTTTTTCGAGAAAATAATGGGTTGTCTTAACAGTAACTTCCAAAAGCCCGTGAGAAACCAAGGCAGAACACCGTAACACCAGTTACCGCTCTTTGGCTTTGTTTTGGAACGCACATTTTGAGTTACGGCACTCTGCCTTTGTTTAGCCGCGCGTCAATATGAAGTTACGGTGCTGGCGTTCTATCAAATATGCTACCTTTCAGATTGTACGGTGTTCTGCCTTTGTTTTGCTCTCCATTAAAATTGAAATTACGATGTAGCCGGTGTACTTTGTACAGCTGCCATCAGTCCCTGTAACTTCTGATGTCCTCAGAGCTTTGTCCAGCACAAATGCGGTCAGAACATTTAGTATGATCTGAACCCGCTCCATATGAAAAACGTGCGATAGGCTATCCATCGCGAATGATATATGCAGAGTTGACAGAAAAAAATGTTACACACGCCGTAGCAGGTGAATACAACAAAGAACTAAATCCCCGCCTCACCCAGATCGGGTTGAAACAATCATGCATCTAGCTGGCAGAGTGTCAAAACTTCGCCGGCGCCTTCAGCTCCGCCCTGAACACAGTCGAGCCGACGCGCGACTAATATATCACAGAGTGATAATAATGAAGCAACAACGGTATATTGGTGCATACAACATAATGCAGCAAGAATTGTTGGTGCATACAACATCAGACAAGCTGTTACAAGCGGGTTGTACCTACAATCACACTGTCCGGAATAAATCCCAGGAGGGACAACTGAAAATCTTTAAAGTCATTTTTCTCAGTTCCAAACTCTAGCGAGTTAAGGTCTTTCTCATAATTTTTTTATTTTGTAATATTTTGTAACTATTGATGTAATATTAACCCTTACTAGACAGAACTTACTAAATGTTATTTTAAGGCTTTCGTTGTTATCATAGAAATGTTTGTATAGAGTGATAAAAGGCAAAATGGTCAATAAATTAGAAGTTAAGGTATTTTGCCTTTGTATGACCCATTATTGTTTTGCAGATAATGCAAAGGCAGAATACAGTAACTTCCGAATAGGGGTCAAAGGTCAAGTTTGAGCTAAATATTTTTTAATGTAGATAAATATATTCATTATGACAACTACTTGGCAAATTTTCATTGTCCTACCTATCATACAATTGGCTGGACAACAAAAAAACTTTAAAGTCATTTTTCTCAGTTTCACACTCTGGTGAGTTAAGGTCTTTTGCCTTTGTAGGGCAGCATACGGCTTTAGTGATGGAAAGAACTACAATCCCATGAAGCATTGCGAACAACAATCAAATTATAAAATATATAAAACTACTAATTTAAAATGTGATTATATATAAAACAATAGGTTTTAAGTGTATTGCAAAACATGCATATTATATATAGAAATATTCAAGTATTTTGAGAGCGTAGATCGACTCGATTACGTGGCGCTTCATGGCAGTGGGTGGAGCTAAATAGATATTTTAACACGGTTTTGCTTGTTCTGCTCTGATTGGTGGAATTTTCTGTACAGCATCATGGGTAATGTAGTTTTTGAACACAAATTATACTGTTAAACAAAATTTTACTTTGGTAACCCGACTGTTGCACTCTATTGAACGAGCAAATTCAATAACATTCAGCAACCATCAAAAAAAAAAAAAAAAAAAAAATATTTCAACACTCATTATTACTTCAGACTAGATTTAAACACTAATGCCTGGGGATTTTGGTCTCATATAGAAATAACTTACTGAATTCCACATATTTTGCCATGTCAACATATATGCAATGAAGTAAAACAAATCTGTCTGAAAGATAAGACATCATATCCTAATTCTGTGAACCACTGAAAAGATTTTTCAATGTTTTTTTTAAAGAAGTCTTATGCTCACCAAGGCTGCATTTATTTAATCAAACATACAGTAAAAACAGTAATATAGTGAAATATTATTACAATTTAAAATAAGCAAGAATAGAAGAACAGAATTATTTAAAATAGAAATCTTTTGAAACATTATAAATGTCTTTGCTGATCAATTTTAGTCCTTGATGAATAAAATTATTCATTTTCAAAAGTACTGACCCCAAATTTGTGAACGGTGTAGTTCCAATGTTTTAAACTCTTTTAATAACACTACCCAACCATTTACCCTGTTTGCCCCACACACACACACACACACACACACACGCACGCACGCACACGTTTTGGAGGGGTTTATGTTAGGGTTAGTCTAAATTACCTGCATCTCCATTCTCTGACACTGTTGACTCTGACACTACTGCTGATGTGTGGATGAAACACAAAATGAGAGGAAAACAAGACAGTTTAAACAGACACGACACACAATGTTATGATGGAAACACACACACACACACACACACACACTCACAAGGATTTTAGATGAATTTCAGATTCAGAAACTCATCACTCATGCCGAAACAAACATAAAAAAAGATCTGAGAAATCCAACACCTCAGAAAAACCTTAAAGCATCGAAAGAATGTACTGAAGTGTACTAAGCAAAGGCTAATGTGGAACATACTTCTCAAACACACACTACAAACACAGGCAACCATCTATGCCCTATTTTCCCCACTACATACTGCATGCAACACTACAGTAATGTCTAACATAGCTCAATGGCATTATTGATTCACGATTTATTGTCTTAATTCTTCTTTTATTGATTTTAATTGTTGATTTTAAGAGGCACAATCAAAGATATTCTAACTCTAAAATAACAACAAAAAGGCTAGCACTTAATTCATATTTTGAAATCATATTAGCTTTCCAAAAAGATTCTAAATATATCAGTGAGAACCGTTCATCTCAGCATCAATAAAAGTGTATTAATTACTTAATTACTACCTTCCTTCTACCTATTGCCATAGTGATGATGACAAAGAACAATTAGCAGTTCAGTTCTACATCTCTATATAAATAAAATTTATCTCGCTATATAAATAAAGGTGACTTGACTAAATCTGAAGTGAATGACTTGAACTCTAATCAACGCAACAGGGACATGCACGGACATTTTTAGGGGCAGTGGCCCAAACCAAGAAAAAGGGCACCATGATCTGTTGTGTTTGTTTGGAACTATTTTCAATAGAGCAAAAACATACTGTATTGACAATATTATTTCTAAAATCTAAAAAATAACTGAACTGAAAATTGTACTGTTGTATAAAATCAGTATCACATTTGCAATCGTGCTCAGAGGCCATTTGAGAAAAAACTGCTCTATTGCTCGTGCGATAACTTGTTAAAAAATGAACTAATTAGAGGGGAATTTTTGCTCCCATATCTTGAATTTTGAGTCATTATTTTGTATTTTAAATATTATAACATTACTAAACCATAACATAGCCTACCATTTAAAGATTACTCTGTTCAATTTCATGAAAATGTGTTGTATAATTAAAATGTGTTCATCTTAAAAACAGACAGATTTTAACCTAAAATTGAGAATAAACTGCTTGAACTTCCAGATTAAGTCAACTATACGGTATTGTACTGTGTTTATACTGTGTGTTTATTCTACATCAATCCCAATAGACCTTTTCAAGCACTGTGTGATTAGTTCACTTAAAGTCCCCCTGTGGTGAATATTAAGTGGTTTCTATGTGGTGTTTTTGATATGCTTTAAGACAAACCATGTGCAAATTCATGTCAACACCATTGATGAGTATTTTCACTGAGAAATCGCTGGTGTTTCTGACGTCACAAACTACCTTGTAACCAATCACGTCAACGTGTGGATCTCGGAGCTGGTGTGAGTGAGTGGAGGCAGGGCTAATTTGCATATTCATAGAACCGCGTATACTAAATGAGGCAAGTGTGTAGAGTTACATTCAAGCTATTTTAAGGAAAAGCTATTTCAAGGATTTTTTTTGGTGATCAAAGATGAGTTTTAAGAGATAAAGTTATTGACTACAGGGGACTTTAAATATTTAGTGCTGCTTCATAAATGTATTGCAAAAGATCATGTTGAAAATGGGTTTATAGTGCATTTTCGTGTCACAACGTGTTGTCTGCTCAGTTCAGTGTGAGCCGCGCTGCAAAAATCACCCTTGCCAGGAAGAGGACAAGTCAAGCATTAACGATACTTAAAAAGCTCATGTTGATCTATCATTCGCAGCCCATAATGAGAATAAACACCAATTTATTTATTGATATTTTTTGCTTGCTAGCACACCAATACTGCAGATGCTTATTTAACCATGAAAGGCAGAAATCATGATTGCGTTAATAATATATGAGTAATTATGAAGCATGGGTCTCCTCTAGTCCACTACTCCTCTAGGGAACTCGGAGCATGGCTGTGGTGCGAGCGATAAGTGGAAAGCCCGGACCGGAGTGGATCTGGAGCTGCAGATTCATTACAGAATGCATTTAGCGCGAATTGAAATCCACTCCACTCATATAAAATACTCTGCCTGCAAGAGGGATACCTCGGCCCAAGAGGGCAAAGGGGCAATGGCTCAGGCCCAATAGCTACCCGTAACTGCAACGCAACATTTGACAACCTATATTACTGAATAAAAACAGCGATAACCCTATATGGGAATTTTTTTGTAGTTGGTTTACAGATTAATCTGAATTCCCCTTGAATCGGACTTGTAAGCGCTTCCCAGTAGGCAAACACACCATACTAGTTTATTACCTGTTTGATGTTCAAATACACCAAAAAGGAACACTACATTTTTGTCTATTTTAGTAATCATGCCGCATAGAGCAGTAACTACAGAGGGTTCAGTCTTAATAAATAAGATGGCAGCAACAAGAGCAGCAAAAGAAGAGAGCTACATAGCAGAAGAATGGCTGCAATCTAGTTCCTTTGGAAGCGCACTAGTGTTGATCTATTCTACTAAAGGCAGATGAAGACCACAGGTTGTGGCATACCAGGAGCTTTCTTCTGCTGGTCCTCCCATGTCACCTCTGAAGTTACAAGACAAGGAGAAAAAGTCAATGGTCCTAGTTAACAAAATTGTTAATTAGATGTGCATACTTAAAGCCAGTAGAGTGCATATATAAAAGGCACATTTAGCATGATTAAGTTACAATTATACGCCGTTTACCCTCATAGTTAAAAAAAATCCAGTTATTTTTTTCCTACATAAAAAGTTTCCTTTTTCAGTTTTCATTATTACATATTATCATTTGCAATTATTAAAAAATGGAAAAAAATTAATTAAATAGTAATTTAATATTTTTATGTTTATTTAATCACTTTTTAAAATTAATTTAAAAATATTTAAAAACTTGTACTCTAACAATGAAAGTCTAGTTGATTTTTGAAGTCTAGTTTTTAAAAAAGGAGTGTCATTGAGCCATCTACAGGTGAATGAAGGTACTTGGTTTACACGAGTGTCCAGTGGCTTCAAAAACATAATAAACAATTATTCTTAAAATAATAACCAATCCCTCAAAACTAGAAAAATACCTCAGCTCAGTGCAGAATTTCTAAACATTTTCAATAACATCCCTCTAAATGACATCACCAACACAATCATAGCGTAAATAGGCTATGATATAAAAAATATATCTGATACAAGTGTAGCCGTACAAACGTCAAGTACTGCAAACGTATCTACTTAAACATCTACTTTTCTAAATCTCTGCAACACAAACACACTGTAAAACATCACTGAGAGATTCACACGGTCACACACACTTGCCTTTCCTCCCATTGACAGGTGGGGGAGCTACAGGCTTTTCCTGGGATTCTTGTGTCGGAAATGGCACACACATAAACAGAAGGGGAGTTTAATAATCAGTATTTTCCACAACCACACAGGTACAGTCTAACCATGCTAAAACACACACACATATGCACACTCATGCTCCTATGAAGCTACGAGCACTCAATCTATGTTCAGAACAGCATACTACTCTTACTATTTGTTCGGAATGCAGTATCTAATACTGTTTATGATTGCATACTGCATACTGTTTGGCATACTATTTTAAAGTATCAGAGGAAGTATACAGTGTATACCAGGGGTGCAAAAATACTTAGTTCCAACCCTGCTCCAACAAACATACTTGTTAGCTGGATCATGTGCATTTATAATTAGGGTTGAAGCTAAACTCTCAAGGAACTAAGGGTGCGTCTCAATCAGCTCCCTAGGTTGTGAATTAGTATATCGTGTACACGAATATTGGCACTGGTAAGGACAGTAAAGATCCTGGCTCACTACACATTGGGTCACTGATGACCTATTTCCGGCGACATGGTCTACTGGTATGAACTATAGCAGAACTGATATCTTTCTTACATCATTTTTAAATGTTATTCAAAGTACATTATGAAAAATACTTTGCTTGTTACATATACATATAAGTGCAAAATTTTAGCTAGAATATGTTCATTACCTGTCTAGCGATGTATGTTTATGTTGAAATATAATTAAATAATTGTTTGTATTAAAAAAAAAAAAACATCTATTGTGTGGTGAGTTGGCTCACTTGATTTTTTGTGCTTCAGAACTTCCATTAAAGGAACACAGTAGGCATCGACGCTCTCTGGTTTTCTTGGTGCACTGTGGGACTTTTTAGGGAGCGAACGTTTCAGTGCACAGGTAGGATTTAGTGGTTGAGACAGCCCTTTAAATGGCAGACTCCCTGATCAGTTCCTTGACTACTGAACTAGGGAGCTGATTGAAACACAGCCTAAGTTTTGCATCCCTGGTGTATACTGTGTAGTATGTAGTAAGAAGTACTCTTTTGCATTGACACACCTGGCACAGAAGCCTGTTGTACAAGAGGTGAGGCTGATGATGAGGCAGTGGCAGGAGGAGGGGCATTGGCTGGAGAGGGAGGAGCATGTGTTGGAGGAGGAGGGGCCTGCACAGGTGGGGGAGTGGACACTGAAGAAGGTGGAGGGGGATGTGCAGGAGGGAGAGGAGAGTGGACATGAGGAGGTATGGTGACATGTGCGATGGTAGGGCCCGGGACAGGAGGCTCCATCCTCTCATGAGCTTTGTTGATGATGACAATGAAGACAACATGATTGGCAGAGACAGGGTTGTGGACAAAAAACAAAACAAAAAACAGGAAAATTAACAAAAGGATTATTTGGGGCGGACATTTATGAAATGCACTGAAATAAAAAAAAAATAAAAAAAACAATAAACATGAAAATATTTACAGGCAACTCGCTACTTTAACAGATATCGTTAACAAATATTTTGACATGAGAAAAAGCAGTGTGCATATGAAATAATCCAGTTTAACTGATATATTTTATTGTGATATAATAATTTATTATAATCATAATTTAGTTTTCCAGAATAAACTTCATTATTTTTACTTTAAATACTTATTTGATTTAACAATAACTGCTATATTATTTGGTAAATATTTCAAAAATAGCTTTAGCTGTTCAAACTATAGCTGTTCATTTTTATCAAAAACAGTAAAACATATATTCAAATATTATTACAATTTAAAAGAACGGTCTTCAGTCGAAAAAGTTGTGAAAACAGTTTGTGTAAACCTTGATTTTTTTTTTTCAGGATTCTTTGATGAATAGAAAGTTTAAAAGACAGCATATATATGAAATAGTAAAACTGTTACATTGTTACAAACGATTTGTCACTTTTGATCAATTGAATGCCTCATTGCTGAATAAAAGTAGCCTAATAATTTCTTGCAAAAAAAAAAAAAAAACTTATATAACATAAAACCAATGGCAAGAAGAATATTAGGCTATTTAAAACAAAATCAGAATTGTTGGTTTCGGCTAAAAATTTCGGTGCATTACTAATAATACGTACGATGACACACACAACAAGCTAGTGTACTGCTACAGTATTTACTGACCACCACACTCTATACTATACTATATAGCGTTTTACAGTTTATATCTACAGTTTTTTTTTCTTATTTGTGTATTCTTATTATGGGATCAATTGCTAGCTATGCAATAACAGCATTACCAGCCATTGCTTGTGTGACTTGTGGAGGTGGAGGGGGCGGGGCTGGGGGTTGTGAAGCCCCTCCCACCGCTTCAACATTCAGACAGAAATGAGAGTAAAAAAAGAAAGACAGAAGTATGCCATCAGACATGAGGGTGAGAAATATAAAAATATGAAAATAGAAGCAAAAAAAAACTAAATTAATCTACAATTTACTGAAAGACTGAAATGTTTATTTTCTAAGTCCACCTGGTGACTGAACATACTAACTAATGTGCTGCAGTACAAATGTAAATATAATTCTGAAAATTCTGTTTTTGAACATTGAATAATTGAATAATATAAAAAGTGATAAAGATCCATTCAAATGTAATTTACGTAATCTATTAACAAACTTATTAAAACAACTTTGATGCAAATGCAATTACTCTCAGAATATAAAGATCATATTTGCATTTGACTGATATAAAGTATCCCATGTGTCCTAAATATAAATTACCAGCCACAGTCTGTGGAAGCTGGGAAAGAATAGGAGAAGGAGCAGGAGCCTGAGGTACCACCCCTGTTCCTGCTTCATTGTTTGATGAGTTGTGCAAATCAAAAGAGAAAGCAAACCAAAATGTCAAGAAACCAACAACTAGTGACTAATAAACCATAATTATCACTGTGTGACTGAGAGGATTACTGCTAGGAGTAGACCGCCATGCAGGTGCAAGTGACTTACATTTCTAAAGCTAAATATACAACATAAATATATATATATTCATCTCTCAATATTGCTCACATGCCAATGATTATCCCTTCAAAGGTTGCCGACCCTCTGCTATAAACATACCAGAATTTACCCTGTTTTTTTATCACTTAGAATACTGTCAGAAGATGTTACTAACGTTAAAGTTCTGACATGAATTGCCTTTTGCTTTTACCTCAACAAATTTCAATAGGGCAAGTATACTTTTGTATGGATACCTGTTTACGCCACATAATTAATATGTAAAAAGGTAATAGCAGCTTTTTATCTCAGAATTCTGACATTATTTCTTGCAATTTCTATAATTTTTTAGTTAAAGCTGCAGTCCGTACCTTTTTTGGGGTTATAAATTATCCAAAATACATACTTGAGAAAATACATAACCAGCCAGTGTTCAAAACTATCTGCTTGCCTTAGCTCGATTCAAAGCGGTAAGCTTGTAATAATGTTTTTAATTCCAGTGGTACTGGTGGATTTCCGCGGGAGATTCGAGCATGTCTTTGCGTCATTACGTCACATCTGTACACATAAAGAAGGAGTATCGGCTAGAAGACTATATTGCGTGTGAGGATGTTGGAGGTGGAGATTTATAGCCTTTTCTCACAACACTTGATATAAACTTATCAATTTGATGGCGGATCCAGAAAGGTTCAAACGACAATCACCAGTGGCAACAGATTCACCCGCTGTAAAATGCAAAAGACTTCGTTCGGACTTCGGAGTGGCTACAGAAAAAAAGAGACTGCAACCGGACCCATGCGAAAACAAGGATACATATCGGAAGGACATTACATGTAGTCACGCAATGCTGACGTTGTTAACATTAACAATTTGAGAACAAAGTATAATTTGCACGGTTTTGCGTGATATGATAACTTATAAGCGATTGTTAGATTTAATCAGCGCGATTTACTGCAATGTCAGAACCAGCACAAAAGTGGATGTTTCTTACTAGTTCAGATGACATTTTCCGGTGAAAATTCTTATGTTGGTCATACTTCCAAAAAGAATAATCTGTGATTCTGAATGCCATTATCCACACCGGCGCGGTGACTGACAGCTGCACAGTCTCCTCATACATTGTGTTCATCCGTGCTGTGCCGTGTCGAGGGTGTTGAAGTACAACTCACGTAAAGTTGATAATTCCGCGAATGACTGCAATTGCAGATTTCGAACAGAGATGGCGACAAAGAGGAAAAACGCCGGACTGCAGCTTTAAAATCACAATTCAGACATTTTTTTCTCAGAATCTTGCAATTTGGACTTTCTCTCTCAGAAATGACTTAATTTCTTGCAATTCTGAGTTTGTATCTTGCAATTTTGAGTTAATAACACACAATTCTTTATTTCTTTTTCTTATCTCTTTTTTTTTCTCCGAGTTGCAAGTTTATACCTCGAAATTTGGACTTTCTTTCTCACAATTGCAAGTTTATAACACCATTCTGACATGATTTCTTACAATTTTAAGTTTTTATCTCATTATATTGTGAGTTTATATCTCACAATTCAGACTTGTTTTTCTCAGTTGACATCTCTCCTTTTCTGAGAGAAAAAAGTACTGAATGCAAGATGTAAACTCACAATTGCCAGAAAATAAAGTCAGAATTGCGAGATAGTTTTTATTTTTTTTACTCTGTGACGAAAAAAAAACCTTCCATACTTTTGATATCCACTGTGGCAGATTTGGATATGATTCCAGACATGGACGGAGTACATAGACTGCACAAAGCATACATCTATACTGATACATGTACAGCACTATTAATTGCACAACCAAGGCTGAAGCATCTGTTCACTATACCCAATGAACGGCCGAAGCTAGAAAAATGACAAGTAACGCTCACAGACCAGAGCTAACAGGTTTAGTCAAACAGAGTAGATGATAAAGCTGTAATAAAGAAGACTGAGACGTAGCTAAACACACAGAAGCTAGTGCTTACAGACCTTCATAAGGCTCAGTAATGCCTTCGCCATCTTCTGGGAAAAAGGGTGGGGGGAAAAAGCAATCCATGTTGTGTTATGTAAAGGACAATAATGTTATTTTATCCAAATTGTAGTTACACAATATTCTTTATCTGACTTGTGGTCAAGATGGTTGTTTATGCATAAGCCATTTTTTTGTGATAACTGATACATTTGTGCAATAAAAGGCTATGGTTATTTACTTAGCTTATTTGTTGGAAAGGAAAGGTTTGGAAAGGTTATTCTTATCATCAACATATCGCTAATATATGCGTCAGGGTGACATCTGGTGACCCTAACCTGACTAATTATAAAGGCTTTCTACCCATGAGCCATCTTGCAATTTGGAAGAAGCCTGGTTAATCTACTCACTTCTGTCCATAGAGCCCTTTGGTGGAACTTGCGGTAGCTGCCGACCTCTTCGACTCGATACTGGCGTGCTGGTGGGACTTGTTTGGACCGATCCGGTGCGGGGATTTGCCCTGAGGGACAGATGGTGTGTCAGTAATGAACATAAAGCATTATATCTAAAGAAGTGTTTGTCGTCGAGTCAAAAACCTGACCAGGACAGGGCAGACTGTTTGACTACAGACACACGCTGGTGAGAGAATACTAATAAAAACAAACCTACTAACTATGGTTATACTGGCAGTAGCATCACTTACTAATGATGCAATAGTGTCAGAAAACACACTCCACTTGATTGCTATAAAAAGGGACACATACTATGTACTATTAAACAAAATAAGTCAATATTTGGCACGGTTTTCTCAAGGGTTGGTAAAAAACTAAAAGGAAGTAAAAACATTTGGTGAAATACACGTTCTGTAGATAAGGTACATCAACATGAGCTGGTACAGCAACCCACATAATATTGAGGTGAATCTCATGAAAACTTTCAAATCATATTTCACCCCAATATCAAAAGAAAAAAATGATCAATTCTATTTTTCAGTTCATCAACGAGGCCTATTTTACGTATCAAGAAATTTTTGCATTTTACATAATTTCCATGAAAATTAAGCACATTCTCCTCTCCCCTGTTACTTTAACTTCTCACTATAAAACTTCTTATTTACATTACTGTAATGGAAACAAATAATTATATATTATATTATATTTAAATTGTAAAGTTTTAGTAGTGTTTGTTGCATTGCTTTTAATTTATGCTGATTTGCTGAGTTATGTTTATGTATTTTTCAATTGTGGAAAAGTACTTTTTACAAACCACCATTTAAACTGTTACAGAATTCAAAATTTTATGATTTCATATTATGTGCAAAATATTTTTTGCACAAAATATATAAATTATGTAAGCTTGTTTCCATTACGATATAAAACAATTTAACTAATAATTGCGACTTTTATATCTCACAATTCAGACTTTTTTTCTCAGAATTGCGAGTTTACATCATTTCTCAGAATTCTGAGTTATATTGTCAGAATTGAGAGATAATTTTGAGATGTAAACTCGCGATTGCGAGAAATAAAGTCAGAATTGTGAGAATAAATCGCTATTGAGATTCTAACTTGTTTGACTTCTCAGAATTGTGGAAAAAAGACAACCTTTTCTCAGAATTGCAAGTTTATATCTCGCAATTCTGATTATATATATCTCACAATTCTGAGAAAAAAGTCAATTCTGGCTTTATAACTCAAAAAAAAAGTCAGAATTGTGAGATAAAAAGTCGCAATTACCTTTTTTTAATTTTTCATTCAGTGGAGCAAACAAACTTCCATAATAAATAAAAATGCGAAATGATATAGAAATGGAATATAAACAAAAATGAAAATCAACATTTAAAATGCTTAGAATTACAAAAATAAACCATCTGGACACATACTGCGAAAATCAAAATAAAAAAAATCTTGTTGAATTTAAAACAGGCTTAATTTTCTTTTTATAAAATATTTTTTCTTATTATTTATCTTCTTATTTTGGGGTAAAATATGACCCAACAAGTTCTTGACATGTTCTTTTGTGTAAAACTACAGAAAAATAACCATTAAACAAATTTCACATATATAACCATATAAGAGCATGCATTTAGTAAATATGTCACAGTCATGTGCATTTTATCCACGTAAACAAATATATACGTTTAAAATGCACATCAACTCCACAGTAAACACAATGATCTTTAAAGCACCTTTTGAGCTCAATGTCACATTTGCTTTCCAATGATCGTACATGTGCCTCACATCTCAAAGTAAATTTGCGGCACATTCAAGAGCTACTGCGTCTCTTGCATCAGTGAAAGTTCATGCGTAAATCTGAACATTTATGTAATTTCCTTGTGACTTATGATGTGTCGGGCAAATCGTAAGTCAAAAGGTTTTATGGTGTCTCAAAAGGTGAGATGGAATCAGCATCAGGAGAGGTGCTTGTGGCTGCTAAAGCTGCAAGGAAAGTGAAAAGGCCTAAATGCATGAGCACACGGCATTCATAACAGCCCATAACTCAAAGCATAAACTGTTAAACCACAAATAAATAATGTTAGTAAACACACAAAAAAACAAAACAAAAAAAAACAAATAAGAAAGTAAACCGTACGATGCCAGGTACAACCCATTATATCTTAAGAGGATATAACAGGTGTGTCTATAATTCAAATGAAAAGACGTTAGTAGCAACCATCATCACTACTCTCTACTCTATAAATGAAGACAAATCAAAAACAGCATCGTTACAACAGGGTTAAAATAAGAGGAAGTGGAGAGAGGCATTCCAGGTGACAGGAAGCAGAAGGCATGGTTTCGTTTAGGGCTTTAGTGCTTGTTGTGATGGGTCTGGGTCACCTCGTTAAGGCAGGAGAGGGAGGAGCGGATCTCCCTGACGGTAAGGACGGCATGGATCTCATGTAGCCGGAGTCGGGCCGCTCAGACGAGCGGGAGCGGGTGTAGACCGGTCGCTCCATCATGGGGCGCTGGTCAGCTGACCTGGACCTGTAATGGTCATGTCTGTCCACCATGCTGCGGCTATACCTGCGGAATGTTAGTCAAAAAGCCACGCTCAGCTGAGTCCCACTGCATCATGGGATCACAGGGCATCAAATGCTCTATAATCGCAGCTCGTAAGGTTGTTCCTGTGAAATGATGCTGGTTGGCTAATAATTGGCAAAAAAACAACCAAACAAAAAGTTTCAATATTGCCTGCTCAGGGTCATCAGCATAAACAGAAACTCATAAAGAAATACCAAACTGAAACAACCAAAAATAAGTGTTAACCAAAGCAAGTCAACAAACTGACATGTGCAGGTAGGCAAAAGTTAAGGAAACAAACAAATAAACGCTTCTGGAAGCTGCTGCAAAGAAAACAAGTGAACACATTTCATACTGACACAACAATAAGCCCCATGACTAGTCTACTCTATTCCTCTATACTGTACTATATACTTCTACAAATTCTACTGTATTACCTCAGATCTTCCTCAAAGTACTCATTGTTAGCTGGGAACTCTGGAATATGATCCTCTCTATAGAGGTGCATAAGAGAAGAACATGAAATGGTCATTTAGCAGCTCTCATAGCTGTCAGGAGTTGCTAAATAGCCTTATCACACAATATACCCTTGTGAAAAAGAAGTGCGCTTAATTGTATTAAATGAGCACTTGTAGTGTACTTCAAATCTCAAAAGTATATTTTTTTTGCTAAAATATGAATTAATATTAATGAAAGTACACTTAAAGCAACACTAAATAACTTTTCCTCTTCGGTTGCCCTACAGGTTGGAAGTGGAATTGTCCATTACCGCTGTCGTAAATAATTTAGCCTACCGCAGCCTACTGTCGCACACACACTCGCTGTTTATCTAGCACCGGCTTTGGAATTAACGATGTCTACAGACAAGGTAGAGTATGTTGCATGATTTCATGAAAGTAAGATGTATTGCGACATCAGAAACAAAAAAAAAAACGAAATAATAATGACTATTGTAACGCTTGAAGTAAAGCAAGTCAAATTTGTAGTTTTCTTATGTCTCATTCGAACTACAGAAACACAACCCGTTCTGACTTTCACCCTGTTGCGACTTGATGAACCACTGAAACGATTTTGGAAACATTATTTTAAGGTTTTTTACCTTAAAATAATGTTTCCAAAATCGTTTCAGTGGTTCATCAAGGACTTCTTTGGTGTTGCTTTAAGTGTACTTAAAGAGAGTACACTTTCACGACTGATTCTAAACACACTTAAGGAGACTTAAGTAAAAGTGCATTTCAAAATAAGGTCAAAATTAAAGTTTTATTTTAAATCATTATGTTTCAATAACCTTTTGTTGTGCTTTATAGAAGTACACTTAGTGTACTTAATTGGTTAAAACAAATTCAAGTCAGCCAATTGCATTTAATATAAATCTAAACAAATACATTTTCATTTAATTGCAATTAACATGCAATTAAGTGACGTAAAACATTACATTCAGGTCATACTTCATATATTATTTTTTAAAGTATATTATTTCCATAATAAGTACTCTTTTTAAAAGTATGCTAAAATGTTCTTCTTTTTCATAAGAGTTTATAATGTATTGCATAGTATACTGTTCAAAGTGAGAATTGGTCACTACTTCAAAACAAACTAACTAAAACTAAATTAACTTCATTACATTTCTAAAACTAGGTACCATACTAAATACTAATATAAAAAATGTTTTTAGTTGTGCTACTGCTAAATCTTCTAATCATTTGAGCAACATGTGATTTGTTTTTCACTGTGCTAAAGCTTCCCATTTACCAGAATATTAGTGAACATTTAAAAATGCTGTAAAAACGTAAAGGTAACAGGATAACTAAAACATCTAAATTGAACTAAGGTCTGCACTGAAAACGTCTACTGAAACTATTTCACTCAATGTAATAATACCTTTCTGTATCTGTAGATGGCTCAATTTCTATCCTGGGGCATGTCCTACTGAATAAACCAACCTCAGTGTGTTAGTGCCACACTTAGTACATGATATTCAGTTTTTATTTGCTTGAAAATGTATAAAAGGTCAGTGTTTGAGAAGATAAATAAAATAAACAGGAGTCTCAAATCCATAACTGGGATCTAGACACAAAGGCTCAGTGGGAACATAAATTGGGCATCTGTTCCTAGCAGTTAATAACTGATGAGTAAAAAGAAAGAGAGTTTGTGATGTATTGTGGGTGTTTATCTCTACAGAAGTCTTACCTGTAGTCCCCACTGGTTCCATTCATGACATGATTGGGCCATGGAGTAGATACATGATTGGGCCCATTGTAATATCTTTAAATGGAGGATGAGGAACGATAGATTGAAATGAAGAAAGGAAAGTATGATTAGAATGAGCAACAGCTGAATTCGGGCAAGGGGTGAGAGTTATGTCTCTATAGTAAAATAGTCCACTTGAATACTATTATGGATGCATAAACATAATGCATGTCTCAACTTAGGTATCTGTGTTTTACCTCTCAGGTGAATCAAAAGAGTCACTGTAGGTAGACATTTGTCTATCTCTCCTCATCCTCCTGAACACAAAATAACACATAATCAGATCCTATGTGCCAAACATAATTCTACTTGCCAAAAAGAACTCCAATGGAGCCATAAAGTGCTATAGATTCACATTTGCTCACGATTACAGATCTTAAGTTAGTTATGTCATTATGATATGGCATGACACATCACTCACGATTTTTCCAAGATAATGGAATAATTATTCAAATTTGTAATTAAATAACAAAAGAGTTTTCTCAAGATCTCATTTACTTTTATGCATTTGGTAGACACTTTTACCCGAAATGACTCACATTGCATTCAAGGTATACATTTTATCAGTTCATTCATTCCCTTGCATTTTGAACACATAACCTTGGTGTTTTGCTAACAATTTGAGCTACACCAATTCTCTCAGGAAATCTAAGATTTCAAAGAAATAAAAGATTTGCAAGAAATGCAAAAGTCGACGCCACAGCGCTAGGTTGTTGTGGGTGGTTCCCAGGGAGTTGCTAAGAGGTTCTATGTGTCTTTTTAGTATGTTGCTTTTGGCATTGCTATAGGTCAAAATCAAAGAAGCCCATCCCTAGGTCTATTAAGTGATTTTATAGCAGTTTTATAATTTCCTAGGCAGTGGGTATTACTTACAAATTGTAGTCCGCTACAGATTGCAAATTGCATGATGAAAATTGTAGTTTGTAACATTACAAATTTTAGATAATGTATTCTGACTACTTTTTGATTACTTTTAGATTACTTTTGACCTAACTCATTTATCATATTGATTTGAATAGGACAATCTTACTGGTTCCATACTGATATACAAATACAAATAGAAAGAAAATACATTTCACAATATGAATGGCATTAAACATTAAGTCAGGGTTTCCCGAACTGTGGTTTGTGAAGGAGCTGCAGGGGGTTAGTGAGTTTATGAAAAGCTAGTAATAAATTAAATCATAAAAATGTAAAATGAAAATAAATAGAAACAAATCAACACATACTAAACTGTTTGAATATTTAAGTTTTTCACCTGCGTGTCGTGATCATTAATCGACATCAGAGAACCGTGAATATGTGTGTTGTTAAATTATTGACTTCATTATTAAATATATTATGTCAAAAGAGGTGCAGCTGACTAAAAAGTTTGGGAAAAACTACATTACATGTAAATATGAAATTACATGAATTTGTGAATTTAAATGTGTTTGAAAGAAAAAAGCCTTTCAAAGACAGTAATAAATGGCAAAATGACTTGATAGTTTGAATAATAATTAAAATGTGTTCATCAAAAGTTGATTCGATATGCAAACAATCCTTAAAAGTTGATTTCTGTAAATTCAGTGGTCAAGTGCTGTTGTCTCTCAATTTTCCATGTTATTTTAGCCGTTTAACTAGTGGCTGGTGTGAAATTCCACAAATCGAGAAGACTTTACAAACATTTATAAGTGATAAACGTTTTACAAAGGAAGATTTAGGGAGAATCAAGGAATATGTAATCATGTAAACAATAAAAATGTAACTGTGGTCTGATTATGAGAAGTTTAAAACATAACAGTCCCATTACAAGTACTTAATTTTTGGAATCTCCTTACATAATCCAGATTACATGTAAACAGTTACTATTCAGCACTGCTCCCAGCAATGGTATGCCTCTTGTCAACAAGCCACATGGTTTGAGGAACTTACATTTCAAAATGTAATTCTTACTATTACTTAATCGTAATTATTAATATAATATTTTGATTCCCAGGGAATGCCTGAACTGATAAAATAAATACCTCGAATAAAATGTAAGTTGCTTTAGATAAAAGCATCTGCCATGTTGCTGAGAGACGACTCGACGCCTGTGAAGAGACGACTCAACGCCGGCGATATGTTATGCCCTAAATTAATACATGAATAACTAACTGTATTTTTCTATGTACATTTCTGAAATGCACTTTCTGTAAAGCTGCTTTGAAACAATATGTATTGTGAAAAGCGCTATACAAATAAATTTGAATTGAATTGAATGTTCATGGTTACATCATGGAATACTCTTAAAAATAAAGGTTCCAATAAGTGATGCCATAGAAGAACCATTTTTGGTTCCCAGTTATGGAAAGAACAAATTTTTTCTCAGTGAGAAGAACATTTTAATAATCTAAAGAACGATTTTCCATTATAAATACTTTTTGTGGGGTGGAAAGGTTCTATGGATGTTAAAGAATCTTCATGGAACCATAGATGCCAATAAAGTACCTTTATTTTCAAGAGTGAAGAGATACGCAAGTATATTAAGGTGTGGTCACATTTACAGTTGTAAGGTGAATTTTTGCAGGCAAAATCAAGTCATTTCAATAGGAATCCACATGACTGAATTTCACGTGAGGGTAAATTCCCACACAGATTCCGAAATGGGTTAAAGTTGGTCATGTGAACTCTTCGCGTTGAACAACAGTAAGCTGCTTGGTTTGAAAGTGACTTCTATGTGAACTGTTTCACACATCACAACACTATTGACAAATAAACCTTTTTGTTTTTGCCCTCGAAATTTTGCTAATGTGAATGGCGCAAAAATTGTATGTGAATCTTATCACACCTTAGGGCTTCCGTACACCAAAGTTGGCAAGGTCTACTCCATAATATCTGAGTCTCCACTACACATCCTGAATAGATTCAATCCTATATTTCTGAGGGGTAAATAATATATTTATATATAACATGGTGAACATTCACTGAAGCTTGCAGTTTTTTGACTGGCAGTTCTGTCATAGAGTGACGCTAGTTGGCTTGGGACCGAAAGAGCTAGTGCTCAGTCATCAAAACAACACAAGCCATCCAGTGAGCAGCGCTGAAGATGCAATTCATTACGCCACAGTAGGAATGGTGGAGTGGGAGCTGCTAAAGAGACTTACATACACATTTCACAAATTTCCTTTGGGAAAAATTGTTCTAAGATTACTGGCGTACTTAGTAGCATAGTCTGCAAGTCACAATCTGTACGCTATCATCTATGTTTATCCTCCTGAGAGGAGCCATAATGACTCCATATCATTATGATGACGACGGCACAAAGCTTTCTCAATGGGCAGAGGACTGACGCTACAGCGACACTTTAAACTTGCCACTGTTTTTCAAACATTTACCACATTTCTGTAAGAAAATGGCCCATTTGACGTTATTGTCTCCTTTTCCGCCCATTGGAAAGTTTCCTTCGTAAATCTGGAGACATAAACATGAAACATTTTGAAAGGCGCCACTAGCTATTCTAGACCAAACTACTACCCACGGCACTAATATGAAGCATCATGAGAACGAGAGTGAACCGCTGTGGTTTACTACCTGTCCACGCTATTGTACCCTTCTGAGTATGCACGGGCCATCCTAGTGGAGCGCAGTAACCTGACCGCGTCTTCCCGATAGAGGGGGCACATACTATGAGTCAGAACAGAAAGTGAAAGTGCAGTAGTTAGAGACGGGTGGGACAAGTAGGCATTATCTGGGTGGTAAGAGGGTGGGACACCTTTTTTAGGCACCTCCACTCTGAAAGAAGGGAACAGGTGAAGATCACCCAAAGCACAAAAGCAGAAATCAAGTAACCTCAAGTCAAGATAACTATCTAAGTTATCGAAACAATAATTTATGTTGCAGCAAACACCAGCAGCAAAGATTTGCTAAACCCGCAGAAGTGAAAATGTAGTGCTTTTCTGGTGGTGCGAATTAATGTGAAAGTACGACTACTTGCATGCATTACTATCACAAGCTAGAAAGTACTAGCAAATGCACAACACTACACTGTTCTTTTTGAAGGAATACTTGAGTGAATTCATTAAACAGCGTGGGCCTTTTTATGCGTGTCAAAAATACCAAAAGACCAATTAGCCTTTCAAGGCGCATTATAGACTGCACTTTATTTCCAAAACAGTATTTGCTTGGTTAAAGTATATTTTGGGTTTTACGTGTAGGCTAGGGTATGTGTACAGTGCGCATTGCATAAATATAGTCATCTGTAGATGACTGTCGAGAAACAGCACAGAAATTGAACGAAGATGAAACTTTCTAGTGCACACGAGTCGATCGCCTGTGTTTGTGCATGCTATCAAATGGAGTATACTTTGAAAGGCAGTTCGGCAGTATGCATACGCTAAGCGCTTACGTCAAAACTGAAGTATTCTTTAGGCTTTCCATCACACTATTATGGCTATGGAAGGTAGGCGGTAAACTGAATCACTTAATAGAGATGTTTTTTTTTTTTTTTTTTTTTACTATTCATGGGAGTAGTAATGATGATCAATTGATGGAAATTAGCGATTATTGGGATTTGATTACCAGGCATTTATCCATGTAGAAGCAGTACAAATTTCAAGAGTTCACTGGGTGTCTGGACCTCTGTGGTGCAAATATGCCGTACAATTATATTGAAAATTGCCTAATGAAAATTAACCTTGTTTGTTTGCTGCATCCTCCATATTATAGTACTCAGAACTGACCCGAAAGAACAGAACTATAGTGTGCAAATCGCTTTCAGCACAGAATATTGTTGCCTGATTTGTGAAAAATTATTCAGGCGCAATTCATTCATAGCGAATCCCCAAAGGCTTTAATACAAGTTTTGACCAGAGAATATGACACTATTGTTCAAAAGTTTGGGGTCAAGAAATTAATACGTTTATGCAGCAAGAATGCATTAAATTTATATAAAAAAGTAAGAGTAAAGATTGTTATGAAATATTTCTTTTTCAAATAAATGCTGTTGTTGTGTGACGTTTATACACATCAAAGATTTCTGAGAAAAAAAAGTCACGCTTTCCACAGAAATATTAAGCTGTTTTCAACATTGATAATAACAAGAAATGTTTCTTGAGCATATTAGAATGATTTCTGAAGGATAATATGACACTGAAGACTGGAGTAATGGCTGCTGAAAATTCGGCTTTGCCATCACAGGAATAAATTACAATTTTCAACATATTCAAATAGAAAAAGAGTTCTTTTAAATGGTATTAGTATTTCACAATATTACTGCTATTGTATTTTCAATCAAATAAATGCAGCCTTGGTGAGCATTAGACACTTTTTAAAAAACATTAATAAATCTTACCGACCCCAAACTGTTAAACAGTAGTGTATTTCGTCCCTCAGTTTGAACACAAAACAAACAAAAATCACATTTACAGTAATACATTTACAATGGTAAATACAGACATGACATATTTTATTTTATTTGAAGTATACAGCATAAGTGTTAAACCATATAATATTACAATATGAGTGTTAACATAAGATTTTGCCATGTCATGATCATGTGAAGCCAGCAAACGGCTAACTTTTCTGTAAGTAAGAAGTGTTTTAAAAAATAGTAAAAGCTGCATTTCGTATAATGGTGCATTACTACTTTTTGTTTGTTTTTACAGAACAAGGGCAAGTCAAAATGGTTTCAATGGTAAGGGACAGTTCTTCACAGATTATGTTGATCTATGTTGGTCTTTCCTTGTATTGAAACCTGAACATTCCTTTAAGGTAGTAAGAATGTGACAGTATTAGTAACAGAGAGGTGCTGAATGTTTTCTCATGTAAAAACATGACTCTATCATCCGAAGATGAGATCTATAATGCATGAGTGAATTAATTACATACTTATTATGACTTATTAAAGTGAAAGAACAGCCTCATGTTTCTTATACAGTGCCATGTGTGGGCAAGCTGTCACCTGTCAATCAGCTAGCAGCAGGGGGTAAGTGGGTGGGTGAAAGTGAGAGGAGTGATGTGATTGGACAGAAGGGGGAGGTGAGCAGGGGCGCGAAATGCGGCTCTGGGGTAACAGAATACCTGGGGTCCTGGATAGCGGGGTCGATGGTTGGCTGTCTGTGTCTGGTTCGAGGCGGGAGGGTAAGATACTGGCTGCAACCACAGGGATCAAAGAACAGAAATATGGCTGAATGGAGCTATTGAATATGGAGCGATGGAAAGATAAAAGCGAGAGAGGCAGAGATTGACGGATAAAAAAAATGTGATGTCAAAGAGAAAGGAGGAGGAACAGATTTTTTTCCCTGCTTTCTCAAAACGAACTAAACCTTCCTACGGTTCTCTCTGTGCTGCTGGCACATCATATTTGTCACACTGAATTTCCATAATCACGTTAACTGAAAAGATGAAGGTATATGGCAACATTGCCATTTGTGTTCCCTCTATCAGAAAAAAAGCAATCTAAGACACAAAGAACTTTTAAGGGCACAATAAACACAAGCGCTCTCTTGCGTGTTATGTGACACATACCTGTCTGGTGAGTATCTGTCTTCAGACAGGTGTTGTCGGGGGCCATAAAGCGAGGGTGCTCCTCTCACACCATGGTCTAAACTTCGACTGAAGGAGGAGAGAGAAAAGGAGAGCCCTGCTTTGACAATGAGCACCAGGAACAGAAGTGCCATATTTAATGCGTTATTTTACTATTCTGTAGATTAGATTATTTTTGCATCTAATATTTATATTTTATTTCCGCTTTATTAGTTAACGAATACGATTTTTTTAACAAGTTTTAAATAGAACTGTTTATTGAACCTTTAGACAAAATCTTGTTCTTTAAAAAAAATAAAAATAAAGTTTGCATATGTGTTTTATGTTTTGTCTCATAATTGATACATCAGGATTTTATGGCTCATATCATATGATATAGGACAATATATTTATTCAGATAAATTTATAAAATGAATGATGCATTTATTCAGATGAATAAAAATATGTAATTTGGTGCAGTTGCTAACATTAATATGGCCAAAATGTAAGGTGAAATTCTTGTTATGTAAAATAATAGGATCTTTATAACAGTACAGATGACACGTACAATGCATATAAATATCAGTTGTTACTCTATAACTCCTAATAACATGTCACGGCTGGGCGATATGACCAAAATCTCATATCACGATATACGTCATCTCATATCCCGATAACAATATATATCGCGATATAGTACCTTTTCTGTAAATTCAATCAATTAATAGTTTATATGTATTTACCACATGGAAAAGACTATTTATTTTTAACATTTCAAAATATATACTCAAAAATGAAAAATAAAAATAAATAAAAAAAAAGCTCCCTTTATTTAGAACTTCTAGGCAAATGTTTGATTAAGAATGTAGAAATATAAAATATGAATGAAATATAAAACAATTTTCAAAAACAAATGATTACACGCCCAACATAAAATATTGCTATATAAACTGTTTATGATTAATTATTATTACTAATTATTATAATTATAAATGTAAGCCATACATTGATAACGTTATTTTATCGTTCTGTTAAATATTTTAAAGGTCCCCTGACATGAAATTTTCACTTTCTGAGGTTTTTTTTAACATTAATACGAGTTCCCCTAGCCTGTATATGGTCCCCCAGTGGCTATAAATTTCAATCGGTGTAAACCGAGCTTTGGCTATCTCTCTCTGCCTTTGAGAAAATGAAAGCTCAGATGGGCTGATCTTGAATCTCCTCCGTATGACGTCATACGGAGGAAAGGTAACCTCCCCTTTCTCTGCTTTGCCTGCCCAGAGAATTTGGCTCGCGCATGAGAAAATGAGTTAGGAAGTACGAACGCGCGAGCGCGATTTGAGTTTTTCCTCGAGAGATATCATGGCTTGCAAACGAGCGAAGCATGGCAGTTGATCAGTGTTCGGATGTACAAATGAACACAAAAGTATTTTTTAGTTCCTTCATCCGAGCCTCTTAAGAAACAATGGGTAATTTTATTTTCTCTGGAAATGCGCCGACACAACTTCCCAAAGTTTTGTATGGTCCAAACATTTCACCGACGACTGTTTCCTCAACTTGGGCCAATACAGAGCTGGCCTCGATGAACGTCTGAAAATAAATCGATCGAGCTACTAAGCAACAGTTTCTGATGTGTAGCCAATTGTTCAAGTTCAGACAGGTAATCTTTCTCTCAAAATCGTTCAATACGGTTTATGCACAAGTCAAGCCAGTGACTAAAATATCAACTTCACATCGTTTCTTTTAGTAGGATGAAAATAATCTTATTTAAATTGTGAACAAATTATACAGAAAGCGATCAAAGAACAATCTTTCCACACAGCGCGAATTTATCTGGACAACTCTTTATAAAATCAATGATGCACGTTACACTGCACAAGCTCTTACTGTATGTACATCATCGTGTTTGCATTGGTGAAAGCATTAGAGTGCAGAAACTGCGTTGCAATGATAAGATCTTCATTCTCGCGATCAACAGACTGTCATCTTGCTCAATGCTCATCACGGCAACATTTTATGTGATGGGAATAGATCTAAATACTTCAAAAACTTCTCACGATTCGTTTATCTCGATAGCTGTAATAGTAAAAACGTATACTAGCTGTAGTAAAAGTATTCGAGAGAGTTTCACATGTAATAATATGTAGCTATTTCATATGCAAGCATGTCAGCCAATCACAGCAGTGGCCGGTTACACTGAATCCCACAGCAGACACGCCCCTTCAAACAGAGCGTTCAAATCAGAGGCTAAAATCAGGCTAGGAAAAATGCCTTTTATTTCTAAATTATGACTATTTTTTATCTAAAAAAACATACTAACATTATAAGGGCAACACAGGAAACATTATAAAATAACAAAATAACCCCATGTCAGGGGACCTTTAAGGGGGACGTTTGTACAATTATACTAAAAGGCCTTTTACTTGTTAAAAAAGAATAAAGAATCTATCAGACGACAGAAGGCATCTTCTGAAACTTCTGAAAGTTACCATCTGTTTTTCATAGCACATTGAACCCATATTTCCAAAGATTCCTCATGATATGACCCTTTACACATAAATCACTAATTTGTGTTTTTCTGTTGTAGATTACCTTTGTGGGGGAGGAACGCTGGGTGAGCGTGAACGTGTGCGGATCATGTCTGATCGTGAACAGTGATTGGATGACATCACCTGCTCAGGTACAGACAGAGTGGAGCTCTGGAAATCCCTGCCATTGTGCCGGTAATCTGAGGCAAACACAACGGAACAGACATTAACAACTCAACTCAACATTCAGTGAAATAAAGGAGCATTATAATTAGTATTATCTAATACAATGGGATTCAGACATTTTTGGGTGTCCAAATATTTTTTTGGGGGAACTGTATTTTGTCTACTAGACAATGACACTTTATGAACATGAAAATGCAACGCCTTAAGAAGTGAACACAACCGCCTTAAGAAGTGAACACAACCGTTAAGAGTCCTGTCACAACGTCAGAGTGAAATGACGGTGAGGATTTTCCTTGTGCTGAGTTGGGAGAGACTAAAGTTCACAGTAATCTTCTCTCTGACAATATCCTTTGATTTGATTTGTTGATCAGCATGTGTGAACGCACACAAAAGCCTGGGTAGCCCACGTGCAATCAGACATCAAAAAGATCATTCCAGAGACAACAGACATCCCTCTGGAGTTTCATTTATTTAGATCAGATCAGGTTGTGAGTTCAAACAGTCAGTAAGATAAAAAAAATAAAAAAAATAATAATACTTTTGTTCAGCAAGAATGCTTTAAATGTATCAAAAGTGACAGTAAAGTCATATATAATGTTACAAAAATGTCTATTTAAAATAAATGATGCTTTTTTTAACTTTCTATTCATCAAAGAATTCATCAAATAACAATGTTTTCAACATTGATACTAATAAGAACATTTTCTTGAGCAGAAAATCAAATATTAGAATGATTTCTAAAGGATCAAGTGACACTGAAGAGAGCAGTTATGATGCTGAAAAATCAGCTTTGCCTTCACAGGAATGAATTACATTTTAAAATATATTCAAATAGAAAACAGTTATTTTAAATTGTAATACTATTTCACAATATTACTGTTTTAACTCTATTTGAAATCAATTTTATGCAGCCTTGGTGAGCATAAGAGACTTTTATAAGACTACGTTCACACTGTCAGTCTAAATCGGATTATGTGTGTATTCGTTTGGAATGTCCACACTGTGTATCGCAACTGTTCAGGTCTGATTTGTGTGTCCTGTGGCTCTTTTTCATTTTCCGGGATATCTGTGTTGGTTTCCATGGCAATGATGTTGCATTGGTAAGACTACACCAAAAACAACATGGAGGGGGTTTGCAATGCTGTCTTAGGATAAGACCATGTGTATCTGACTGCAGCGCTGGACTAATGAAGCAGCGACAGAAACGGATGCTTTTATGAACTGCTTTATTCCATGATGCTGCCGTCTCTGCCGCACAGTAGAAGAAGTAAATACTAGGGGTGGCACGGTTCACAAAACCCACGGTTAGGTTTGTATCACGGTTTTAGGGTCACGGTTTTCGGTTCTGTACGGTTCTTGTTGTTATTTTTTCTTTTAATCTTTAACACTCCAGAAATGTACTTCAGCATATGATATAAAGCTTAATTATCCACAATTTAAGATACAGTATTAACAAAAATGTTATATCATGCACAAACTGAATTTGACTTGACTTTAAGCACATTATTGGGACCATCTCCGAGGAAAGCTAGGTGAGATTTTGATACAGCAAGAGAGAAGACATTGATGACATGCTTTTCGTTTATTTGGCAAAAGAAGTATAATGTGTATCACTATCTCTACAGGAACTTATGTGCATTTTTAGCACACAAAGATTAAAATTAACTTCCATTTATCAAACTACCAACTTAAGTGTAGCTCTTACAAAAATTGTATCTTTTAAAAGAAAAAAAGAGGAACTCTTAAAACTCTCTTTTAAATAAGTCAAAATACATGAAACATAATTGCCTATAATTAGGCTGTAGCAATAGAAAAGGCCATAATCATAAAGTGAAAAATAAGTTCAACCTCAACACAAAAACAGTATCAACAATGCGTCTATTCCCTGAGAGTGAGGATACACTTTTTTCACTTGAAATTAAAGTGCAGTATTTGTAAACATATGACTGGAGTTCTTATCTAAACTAAAAGTGCCACTGTAGCTGCTATATATTTAAATATCATAACATGAAATCCCAAATGTTCCCACACACCGGACTTATACGACGCTGGCGCATCCTCCAACTCCGGTTAGCCTTCCTTATCTCTACCACTTGCCACTTCTCCGCGTGATGTGACCTGCAGCACTCCATACTCCACCTTTACTGGCTTGTTCGACTTGAACCGGTGTTCTGACGATTTGTGCTGCCTTGTCGAAAAATGCTACCGTAACGCGAATCGATCACAGAATGTCGATTAATATTATATGAAATACAATTATAATACAATTCTAAGTTATGAGTAGCTACTGTATACTGTAGACTACTGTTTTTATTTTTAAAACGGTGTGAAAATAAAAAATTATCATCAAATATTCATCTTTGACTTGTCAAAGCACACTTTTCCTTAGTAACTGAAACTTTCAGTTATTATTTTTCAGCTGGCTGACCGTACACATATTCATATGCTAGTTAGCATTTTTAAAGGGAAATTACAATATAACACATGAAAATGTACCTTTTGTTAAAAAAAACTGTGCGTCTGCACATGCGCATAACCATTAAGTAGCAAATCTCGATGGGTAGCATGAATCGTCAGAACACCGGCACTGCACAGAGCGATCGGTAATGACATCAAAGAACCGCGAGAGTGAATGAAAAGCATATGGAGCCGTCGCGCTCGCGGTACTTTGATGTCATTCACCGATCGCTCTGTGCAGCGCCGGTTCAAGTCGAACAAGCCTCGTATATGTATGTCCACACACGTCTTATTTCGCGCGAAAAGGAAACACGTCTGAGGTGGTCACATACGGGCATGAGGCTACATCGCGCATGCGTCGAACCGTGAGACACACACACGCTCCGAACCGAGACAAGCGAACCGAACGGTTCGGATGTTTTTTCATGTACCGTGCCACCCCTAGTAAATACACATCATCACTGGACAACACAGAGATGTCTCCATTATATTATTTTCTGCATGACCAGCACACTGACAACAACACAAGGCAATCTTGTTTCTGCAACGGCGACTGACGTGTTTACGTTTTATGTGGAGTGAGAAAGAGACATATATCAGAAAAGCTGTGAGAAATCAGAGTGGTCAGACTGAAATGGATTTCCAGAAATTATATTTGAATAGGATTTCAAACCATATATAAATGTAGCTTGAAACGGATTTGTAAAAATCGGATTTCATGTGACTTTTGGCATTCACACTTGCTAAATATGATCTAATTCCAATATTTGGACTGACAGTCTGAACAAGGCTTATAAGACTGACCCCCAAACTCGGTATATAATCACACTGTTGTGTCCACTTTTCACTAAAATGTGAGTGAAGTGTAAAAATAACTCTACAGTATAACTTTGTTTTATGTTTGCAATACATCTAAAAAAGTTTATAAATTAATTTGAGATATACAAGAGCACTGAATTTAATTGAAAAGTACTAAATAAAATGCTTTCAAGGACGCTCAAGTCTTCAGTTTTCTAAGTACAGTGTGGTACTAAAGCAGAGAAAGGTGACTTCGCTGTACCTGAGATAACACCAATCCCATCCTCACAGTCGTAATCAGAGAACTCGCCGTCGCTGATTCTCTGTGATCCTGCGAGAAAGAGAGAGAGAGAAGAAGGGTGGAGGAACAAATCACATAATGAAGAAAAGACCCTCTTAACGTGACCGTCTGTTGTAATCCACAGGACGGTTCACGTGAGGTTAAGTAATCTAGTTAGGGTCACAGCACAGCAAACACACATAAACTAGCATCATGTTATCAGAGATACACCAATATTGAAATAATGATATTTTCATATTTTAAAATAATAAAAAAAACTTTAACATTTCTAATTAATTATAAATGAATACTTTTTATAATTAGTTCTTATATTGTGAACTAAACATAAATTGTATTATTTTTTTATGTGGCTGATATGATGGCTGATATTATAAATATATAGGTTTGTCTAACATTTGTTTTTGTTTGTTTCACAAAAACGTCTCAGGTTACTACTGTAACCATAGTTCCCTGAGAAAGGGAACGAGACGATGCGTCACTTGACGCTTTGGGAACGCCCCCAGCGTGAATGCGTCTGAGCATCAATGTCAACTAGTCCAATGGAAAGAATGAGCGTCACGGGCGGGTGACGTCATGACCAGGAAGGCATAAGAGCACATCCGGTGAAACGCGGCATTAGCTTCAAAAAGTCGAAGCAAGCCAATCACAGGGATGCAGGAAGTATGGCAGGGTGACGCATCATCTCGTTCCCTTTCTCAGGGAACTACGGTTACAGTAGTAACCTGAGACGTTCCCTTTCGAGGGAACTCGCGATGCGTCACTTGACGCTTTGGGAACGAGAATACCCAAAACGCCAGAATTCCAAGTACCTGAGTGTCAGTCTGTTGGAACTAAGCACTAAGCACCTGAGAACCTGGGGCAGCATCCAGGTCCAAACTGTAAAACCTGACGAATGTGAGCGGTAAAGACCAGCCTGCCGCATCACAAACGTCTTGGAGAGAAACCCCAAATAACAAGGCTTTAGAGGCCGCCATACCCCTCGTTGAGTGAGCTCTGACCACCAAGGGACACGGATGGTCAGAGTACTCGTATGCAAGTGAAATAGCCTTGACTATCCACTTACTAACCGTCTGTTTAGAAGCAGGAAGACCCTTCTTAGGTGATCCAAAGCAAATAAATAACTGGTCGGACTTCCTCATTGAAGATGTCCGATAAACATAAGTATCCAGTGCTCGCACTGGACACAAGAGGTTCAGCCTTTCCTGGTCCGCAGATGTAAAAGGAGGACAGAAACCTGCAGCACAATAGGCCTCGGAATAATGGTAGGCACCTTTGGAACATATCCATGTTTCGGGTAAGAATGCCTTGGCCATCCCCGGTGCACTCAAGGCAGGTGGGGACCGAAAGGGCCTGAAGGTCTGACTCTAATAGGGACGAAATAGCTAGCAGAAAATAGTCTTAAAAGAAAGGAACTTCTCTGAGACCAAATCTAAGGGCTCGAAGGGAGCCCCAGATAGGCCTTCTAGAACTATTGCAAGGTCCCAAGCCAGCACCCTAGTGCAAGTTGCAGGCCTCAGCCTCAAAGTGCCACGAAGGAAACGAGTGATCAGGGGGTCTCGACCCAAAAATGTACTACCCACCAGGGCGTGGAAAGCCGCAATGGCCGCCACGTATACCTTAAGCGTGGAAGGACATAGACCTGATACAAAGCGTTCTTGCAGAAACTCGAATACTGTGTTTACTGAACAGTTAACCGGATCCCACTGACGCTGGTAACACCAAGAAGTGAAAAACTCTCGAAATAGTGAATATAGTTTCCTCGTAGCGGGAGCTCTGGAGCTTAGAATGGTCTCAACAACCTCGGTTGAGAGACCACTCTCTATGAGTTGGGCCCCCTCAGAGGCCAAACCCACAGTTTCCAAATCCCCTGCCAGGGGTGCAATATTGCATCCCCTGCCTGAGACGGAAGGTCTCTCCTGATCGGGACCTCCAAGGGAGGTCCGTCGAGGAGAAAAATTAGGTCCGCAAACCAAATTCAGCTCGGCCAGGGTGGTGCTACTAAATAGGCTTATTCCATCCTGGCGGAATCACTCCAGAACTCCTGGGAGCAGAGCAACAGGGGGAAATGCGTACAGACGTAGCCTCAGCCACGTCTGCACCATAGCAACCAGCCCCGAGGGGACTGGTTGAGTGAGGGATAACCAGAGTGGACAGTGCGTCGTATGCTGAGACGAGAACAAATCCACTTCTGCCTGGCCATAAAACTCCCATATTTGCTCCACCGCCTCGGGGTGGAGTCCCCTGGCCTCAGCCCCTGCCTCGACAGGGTGTCTGCTCCAATATTCTGGCCCCCCTGGAATATACACTGCCCTCAGACAGCGTAATTTCCTGAGGGACCAAAATAATAGGCCACCAACGTGTTGTCTGTGGGTCAAGAACCAGAGTTTCCTCCATATAACCAAGGCGCGGGGATACTGCCGCGTGATCTTGATCGTACGGAGTGGGTTTCCCCTCAGGGAGAACCCTCTGGTCCTGAGCCACCACTGTAAAGGTCTCACGTACAGCAGGTCAAAGGGTATCACATTGAACGCTGCTGCCCTGAGGCCTAACAGTCACTGTTTCAGAACAACACATGATGGCCCCTCAGGTCTGGGAGGAGATGTCTCAACGCATTGAAGACGACCATCATCTCTAGGCAATTCATGTGCCAAGCGAGATGATGACTCCTCCCAAGCCCTGAGCTGAGCGGCCTTCCAATACCGCTCCCCAGCCGGTGAGGGAAGCATCTGTCGAGATAGCAACTCGATGGCAAAGAGCTCCCAACACCGAACCCTGGGTTAAGAACCAGTGTTTCCTCCATTTAACCAAGGCACGAAGGCACGGCCGCGTGATCTTGATCATACGAAGTGGGTTTCCCCTCGGGGAGAACCCTCTGGTCCTGCGCCACCACTGCAAAGGTCTCATGTACAGCAGGCCAAAAGGTATCCCGTTGGACGCTACTGCCACAAGACCCAACAGTCTCTCGAACTGTTTTACAGTGCGTGACTGGCCTAGCCTCAGCTCTTTTGTGGCTGTTAGGATAGCAGCTACACGAACGGGCGACAGAGTGGCCCGCATCGTCACTGAATCCCATACCACACCAAGGAAAGTGGTTCTCTGTACTGGAGAAAGCACACTCTTCTTGGCATTGAGCCTCAACCCCAACATCTGCATATGAGCGAGAACGACACCTCGGTGCCGAACCGCTAACTGTTCTGATTCCGCTAGAATCAGCCAGTCATCTATGCAATTCAGAATGCGTATACACTGCAGCCTGGCGGGGCCAGAGCTGCGTCTATACACTTCGTGAATGTGCGGGGTGATAGAGCTAGACCGAAAGGAAGTGCCTGATACTGGTGTTCTTTGCCCCAAAGAAAACCTCAGGAACCTCCTGTGCTGAGGGAGGATGGAGATATGGAAGTATACGTCTTTTAGATCTATCGTGACAAACCAGTCCTCGGATCTGATTTGAGTCACGATCTGTTTGAGTGTCAGCATCTTGGACTTGAGTTCCAGCACCAAACACTCCAACAGACGAAGATCTAGTATGTGACGCTGCTCTCCATCCTTTTTTGGAACAATGAGATAACGACTGTAAAGACCCAACGCAATGTCGGGTGAGTACACCTGCTCTATAGCTTTCTTTGCTAACAGGGCCTTTACCCCTTGCTCCATTACCAGAGAGATTACCATTACCCATAGAGATATATTTGGCAGTAGCTTCCGCGCTGCCAGAAAATCTACCAAGGGAACCAGCCCCTCGAGGCTGGCCTCTGGTGTAATAAAGACAGCCAGTCAACCAACATACTGGCAGGAACCACCCGAACTGACTGTTTTCGAACCCCCCTCAGAGGGCGCGAGTCCGACGCAATGTCGAGTTGACGCTGCGCCAGAAGCTCGCTGGAGAACGCTGCGCCCCGAAGCACCAAGGGTGGCGGGGTTGGCAGAACGGTCCCCTGAGGGCACAGAGATGGAAAGGGCACCGTATAATGAGGTGTACACCATTCCACCCCGGTTGGGGCTGCCCTCACCGGTCTGACGCCGTGGCGCCAGACCTTTTCTTTTGAGCCGCAGCCTTCTCAGCATGAAGAACGGTCCTCGGATCCGGCTTCTGCTTTGAAGGCTTTGGCTGCTGTGTTGTGTATGAGAAACTAGCCGGCTGGAGCTGCTCACGCCCAGCAGCCCCAGTGGGTTGGACATAGCGAGGGAGAGATTATCTTGTATCTTTCTCCATGATTCCCATCAAATTGAGCCAGAGGTGTCTCTCAGTGACCACATTTCTTTGGCTGCCATCCCTGAGAGATAAATCTGAGGCCCGACGGAGTTCTCAAACCCCATCGGGCCAAACTCCCTCACTTCTGTCCAAATACCACAGCAGGTCAGCCTGATATGCTTGCAGCACTGCTATAGTGTGCAAGCAGGCTCGTGCTAGACCCACTGCCATATATGCTTTTCCCACTAGATTAAAAAATAGTTTTCTTTAATGGTTTAGTGAGAGAAGCCGACGCCTTCAGGGACGATACTGAACCGGGAGACATAGCTCGCAAGTGTCTGTTCTACCCGGGGTATTGCCCCATAGCCATACTCTCTTAACCCCCAAATATCTGAATATACATGAATGTGGGGCTAATAAATGAGTAAGGCTTTTTCCATGATCTAGACAGCTCGCTGTGCAGATTGGGAAAAATGGAAGGCCCCGTGATGGAGGTGGAAAAATAGAGGGAAGGAAACTCGTTCAATTTATTTTAAGGACGAGTGCCCCCTTATTTCTGCTGGCCATTAAATATTTAATTTATCTACAGCCTTAGTAAACACCTCCACCAGCTTATTATTATATATATATTTTTTTATATACATTCTTTATATATATACACTTTATTTTATATATAATATATAAACTATCATATATATATATATATATATAGGCTATATATAATTCTCATACGCTGGGGAAGAGATGGCAAATCCACTTCCCCCATGATTGTGTACACTTTCAATGCCCAGCACATCTACCTCCTCGGAGGTAGAGCACTGAAGCATTGATTTCTCTTCCCGGGCGGAAGAGACCGCAGCGCGGGCTTCCGAGACCGGAGAGAGAGCACTGGATCCCTCGTGGAAAGGGAGGAGATAAGATCCGCGGACCCGTCTCCAACCCCGTAACGAGATCCTATTCGCGATCCACAGGAATGCATTCTCCGCGCTGCCTCGGGAGACGCGTGTCCTGCACCCCGAGGATCGCGAGCCTGGCCACTTTCCTCGAAAAGTGACAGGCGGGAGTGGAGCATGCGAAGCGAAAGCTTCTCACAATGTTGCAATCAGCCCCCTCGGAGGCTGATACCGCATGCTCCACTCCCAAACAAACTACACAAAGCTCGTGTGTGTCCCCACCCGTTAAATAACGCGGGCAGGGAGAAGCACAGAGTTTGTAAAGTTGTTTCGCCATAACTCTTCCCAATAATATCGAACAGACAACAATAAATAGACAGAGACAGAGTAACACAGATCGCTTGCTGAGACACAGAAGCTAATGCCGCGTTTCACCGGATGTGCTCTTATGCCTTCCTGGTCATGACGTCACCCGCCCGTGACGCTCATTCTTTCCATTGGACTAGTTGACATTGATGCTCAGACGCATTCACGCTGGGGGCGTTCCCAAAGCGTCAAGTGACGCATCGCGAGTTCCCTCGAAAGGGAAATAGCTTTCAATAAAGCAAATCCTTCGCTTTTACATTTTAATTAAATTTTTAGGCATGAAAAAATGCTTTTTACTTCTGAAAGCTTTTAAGAGTGTATAAAAAAAAAACACCCGATATTCTTATATTGGATATTATTCAACCTAAACAGACTGATCATTTAGAAATGCTTATATTGGTCCATTTGTAGTTATAATTTCGAAAAGCGACATTAACGACATTAACTAACAATTACATTTGTTACAGTATTTAGTAACATTTGTTAACATTCGTTATTAGAAAAACTGTTCGATGTTAGACCCTTTTAGCTGAAGTTCATTAAATTATATTAATAGATGCAACTTTTGATTCGATTAATATATTGAGGATGACCTGAGAATATTTGACGTGAAAACTTTTTTCCATGCTAAGGCACAGCTTATGTGAAAGCAGATAACATTGATAACAGAAACATACTTTGGTTCAGACCCAAATAATACAAAATGAGTCAATGTGAGTAGAACCAAGTGTGCTATCATTTAGTTTTGAAATCAAATTAGTGAAACACAGCAAACATCAACCACAGAAAGGTTTGTGAGAGACTGGGAAAATTGTTAGCAGTCCATACATAGATCTGCTCAGGAACAGGTATTAACTGGGCTGATTTGATATTTTTTAATGGTGAAGATCAGGCCTAAAAAGGGATATAAGCTTTAAAATGAGGATTGGTGGCATGTAGCAGCAGCGATGATCATTAACTCCATGCAAGCTGTGTGGAATAGTGGGGGTTTCTGAAGAGTATGAGGCGGATTTGAGGGGAGATCACACTTTGGTCAGTGTAAAGGATAGTAATCACATTGCTGGCCAATCACATGCTAACTGGAGCAAGCAGGTCAAAGTTACCTGAGTTGTATAAATACGGGCTCTTGACTGGAAATGTGTCAGTGGTGGATAGATAGTAATATTTTTTTGAAGGAAACAAAACATGAAAACAAGAAACACATCAACAAAAACAAAAACAAACATACATAAAATGTTCTTTTGAACTTTCTACACATAAAATATTAAAGGAAAATGCATCATAGTTTCCCCAGCAATAATAAGCAAATATATAAACACAATATTTCACAATATTATTGTTTGATCAAATAAATGCAGACTTGCTGAGCATAAGAGATCGCAAACTTTTGAACGGTAGTGTGTATTTTTTCACATGTCTATGTAATATAGACAGTGCAATTCAAATTTTATTTAAACAACTGGTAAATGAAACAAAATGATATGATGAATGATTGACATAAAATGAATTCTGACAGGACTGTTCACAGAAGTCGATTTACACATCTGAAAGTGGTCTTGACTGGATTTAAATATGTGATTCAAAATCTTTTGCTGTTCACACTGTGCGGGCAAAATCAGATTGAGATCACATTCAATTGTAATGTGAAGACTTTAATTAACTATTATTAAGCAGTTTTAATTGAGTATGTTTGTGTTTATTGTAACAGTAGATGTGTGTACATACTCTGTAACCTGCGTGTTGGGCTCTCTCCATGCAGGAGACGTCTCTGCATGTAGGGTGAGGGGTTAGGCAGCGGCATAGAGGACACGTCATGTGTTTGGAGCTTATACCAATGAGGCTGATCATCCAACAGCGCTGTTTCCAGCTCTATCAGAATCTACACACACAAACACACAGGTATGAAATACAGAGCCATTTATGATGATTTATGATGTTTTGAGTTTAAACTGCACAATTGTGCAATATTTAAAGTCTAAACTTTGCCAAGAAAGTCACAAAATACTTTTTTTAAATTGATTTTAAACTAAAACTTCTATTGTCTGATATTGCTGCCACAACAGTTTTCTTGCATCATACCGAGTAAACAGTGTGAAATCTTTTATTACTACGAACGTGGCATTATAGAGACATACAGTGGGAAGGTGTTCCTCTCTCACCTCTCCCAGGAACTCGCTTTCTTCCTCTCGGACTCTGGCCTGATCCCATAGCGTGATCTCCAGCATACGTTCCCTGAACTCTCGCCTGTGCACTGGCGAGTACATGAACGTCTGGTTCCACTTGGGTTCCAGAGATTTCTTCACTGTTTTCGTTCTCCTCTTGCTTTTATCGCTGAGAAGAACAGGTGAGTTCATATTTTACTGCTGCTAATATGACTTAAACTTGAGGGGTTTTAACATTTACAGTTTCACAGACTCTCACAGAGACAGCCAATCCAAGGACCCCCTCATTGAAATTTATATATATCACACATTATTAGACTTTATTACACATTTTGATAATTTATAATTATTATTATTATTACACATAATATTATTTATCCATTCATTCATTTATTTATATTCAGATATGATTTTCATTTCAAATGGAATTTATAGTTCTCTTACGAGAGGTTCTCTCGTATTGCGTAAGTTGCTTACACTACGGGTAAAGTCATCTTTTCTCGAGATATTGAAGCCAAAAATGAACCTTAATTTTTCATATATTGTCAACGCAGTGCAGCAGCCAGCAGACCTAGAGCAGGCTATCTTGCGTGCCCATTGGCTGCCCTGCGGCAACTGCTGCAGTCTACCGTTGAGCCTCGCGCGTGACGTCGCTCCCACTACGCGTCACAGCCCGCCAGAAAGGGGGGGGTGGCTTAGCGTATAAAAGACGGGCTCGGGGGCTGCATCACTGATTTCATCATCTTCAGCGAAGCTCTTCGCATCGCTGGACTCGGAGAGAAGCCATCGGCCATTGAATATAGCGACCAGCACGCAGAGGACAGCACTGAAGAAGCCGGCCGTCTTCGCCACCTTCAGCCTTCCGTGCCTGCTACGCCATCCGGCGTCGAGTATCCTTTTTATTTACTGCTTTTCTGCTTGTGAGTGTTCGCTGCCGCGACGCTCACTCTTCTCTAAAAGAGCACGAGCGTTTTTATAAAAATGCCTCGCCTTTCCTGTGGCTCGTGCAGAGCCCCGCTCAGCGCCGGAGACCGCCACGTGATTTGCGCTCTCTGCCTGGGCCCAGACCACGCAGCCCTCGCCCTGGATTCGGGAGGCTGTGTGCATTGTGAAGCGCTTCCGCTGTCGACCCTGCGGGCTCGACTCGAAGCCTTCACCACGGCTGCTGTCACTCCACCCTCCGGACCGCGCAAGAAGAAGCGCCGTTCACAGAGGATACCGGAACCTGAGGTCACCGTGAAAGGCTCGCCAGACTTCATCCCGCCAGCCTCTCTCTCTCCTTCTCCGCCCCTCCCGGACGCGCAGCTGTCGGCTTCGGCCCGCACTGCCGCCACCTCAGGGGACGAAGCTGAAGGAATTGACCTCGGTGACAGCTGTTCCCGACTAGCTGGATGGCGCCTTGCATGGCTGACACCGCTGTCGGTGTATGAATGAGTGAGTGAATGGGTGAATGTGAGGCAAAATGTAAAGCACTTTGGTGGCCATTGGGTCTGTGAAAGCGCTATATAAATGCAGTCCATTTTACCATTTTTTTTGTTCTATCCTGGGATCGGACAGTGAGGAGTGGTCGAGTTCCCATCACTCCGCCTCCTCCTCGATCCAGGAATCCAGCAGGACTCGGGCTGGCGTGGACGCCGAGCTTTTGCGCCTCCTTTCTAAGGCCGTCGACCAACTCGGCCTGGATTGGTCACCGCCTAAGGAGCCCGCGCCCAATAGGCTTGACGGCTGTTTCCTCCAAAGCCGCCGCCCACCACCCGTTTCCAGATCTGCGCCTTTCCTGCCGGAGCTGCACACTGAGCTCTCGAAGTCGTGGAACGCTCCATTCTCCGCGAGGCTCCACTCACATGTCTCCTCGGCGCTCTCCCAAGTGGACGGCGCCGCCGAGAAGGGGTACAAAGCTATCCCCCCAGTGGAGGAGGCGGTCGCAGCGCACCTTTGTCCGCCCTCTGCGAGATGGCGCTCAAAGTCTGCCCTCCTGTCCAAAGCCTGCAGGACCACCTCAGCCCTTGTCGGCCACGCATTTTCTACCGCCGGACAAGCTGCTTCCGCCCCGCACTCGATGGCTGTAGATCCTCCAAGCTGATCTCCTCCGCGAATGGGATGAGAGAAGCAAGGACCCAGCCGCCATCACGGATTTAAGGAGCGCGACGGACCTCACCCTTCGTGCTACTAAATCCGCGGCTCAGGCGATCGGCAGATGCATGGCCTCGCTCACCGTCACAGAGAGGCACTTATGGTTGACGCTTGCGGATATGAGGGACTCTGAGCGTTCCGCGTTTCTCGACGCGCCACTCTCCCCTACTGGTCTCTTCGGCCCAGCGGTAAACGGGATCGTCGACCACTTCTCCGAAGTGCAGAAGACCTCGCAGGCCATGAACCTCTTTCTGCCTTGACGCTCGAGCTCCGCTGCAAGCCGCCCATGTGAACCGCCTGCACGGAATGTTAGCCAGCGTCCAGCTCAGCCCCAGCCTTCGCAGCGGTGACAGGGCAGCCGCCCTAGATCGCGCTCGTCCAGCCGCCCCAGGCCGCCTCCCCCCCAGGGACCCCGGCCCAGGATCGCGCTGAAGCCCAAGCACGCGAAGTCCTCCAAGCCACAACAGAGAGGAAAAAATGGCTGGGTCTCGCCGCGGTCGGACCACCGTCAAAATATCTCGTCCTGTCAGTCCCCTAAGAGAAGGCTACTGCAGATGTAGTTTTAGCAGCCAACGAGTCGGCAACACAGCCCGCTCGCCTGCACACAACCGCCGTTTTCACGGCGACCCACAGAAATCTCAAAAAGAGTATAATTTCTGGCAAACCGGCTCACGCCGATGGTGTTTTAAGTGTAGAAAAAGTGCCCACAAAGCAGTGCTTACCCCTACACATAAACACGGTGCCCCACGTGTCTCACACACCCACAGAGCCCACTCTCATAAAGCTGGCAGAAGCCACTCGAGTGATAGATGTAGAGAATGTGCCCACAGATTTGTGCTCACACCTACTCACTGCCTGCTCTGTCACACGGCAACGGCCTCACAGCGGCCGAGTTATGAATGTAAGTCACGTGCCCGCCCGCGAGCGCTTAGCTTACTGACAAACGCTTCGCCCCAGGCTCCGCTCGCACAAAATATTATCACAAAATGTTCCCAACTCCCAGTCGACGGGTCATTACAAGCGATACAGACAGTCTCCGCTGTCAGCGACCCGCCGTTCCTGAGATCCGAGGGCGCACGCGCCTCGCACACACCTCCGGTTCAGCTTCCCGAGCCCGCGATGAGAGGCGATCGGAACCCGGAGTCCATTCTGCCCCTAGCTATACATGTAAAAGCATGGGAGGCTATTCCAGGAGTGTCATAATGGGTGCTGAGCACTATAAGTCAGGGCTATTCACTTCAGTTCGCTCGCCGTCCCCCTCGCTTTCGAGTACGGACCGAGACGAAAGTGAAAGCGGATGTAGCGCATCTACTCCGCGCAGAAATAGCCACACTGCTGTGCAAAGGCGCCATAGAACCAGTACCTCCTTCTCTGAGCGAGTCAGGCTTTTACAGCCGTTATTTTCTCGTACCCAAGAAGGACGGAGCTCTAAGACCTATCATAGATCTGAGATATTTGAACAAAGCTCTCATGAGACGGCCGTTCAAAATGCTCACGACCAGACAAATTCTCGCGCAAGTTCGCCCGAGAGACTGGTTTATCTCTCTCGATCTGAAAGATGCATACTTTCAGATTCCGATAGTCGCCCGTCACAGGCCATTCTTGAGATTCGCCTTCGACGGTCGGGCATATCAATACACCGTCCTACCGTTCGGCCTGTCTTTAGCACCCCGTACATTTACGAAGTGCATGGATGCGGCTCTCGCCCCCTTGAGAGGAAAAGGGCTGCGAATCCTGAACTATTTGGACGACTGGCTGATTCTAGCGCAGTCAGAGATGGAACTGTTATCTCACAGAATTGTGCTTCTCAGTCATCTGGAAAGCCTGGGTCTCTCGGTCAACTGGACCAAGAGCTCATTACTGCCCGGTCAGTCAGTTTCCTTTCTAGGAATAGAACTGGACTCTGTGGCTATGACGGCCCGTTTATCGACACAGCGCGCGCGCACCGTGTTCGACACCTGGCTGCATCTTTCCAGGAGAGCAGCAGCGCTTCTCTGAAGACATTCTAGAGAATGCTGGGCTATATGGCATCGGCCTCGGCTGTCCTTCAGCTGGGCCTGCTGCGCATGCGCCCGCTACAGCGCTGGCTGAACGCCCAAGTGCCTCACCAGGCATGGGCTTCAGGTCGCAGACGGATCAGAGTGACTCAGAGCTGCGTTTCGGCTCTGCAGCCCTGGTTAGCGGCCGACTGGTACCAGCGGGGTGTGACAACGGGAGCCGTCTCGTACCGAAAGGTCATCTCGACGGACGGCTCCAACCTAGGTTGGGGCGCCCTTTTCGAGGGCAGACCGGTCTTTGGCCTCTGGTCAGACCAGGAGAGATGTTTCCATATAAACTGTCTTTTCAAAGAACGAGGATGCGCTGGCCCAAACCTGGCCCAGCCTCCCCCTTTATGCTTTCCCTCCGGTCTCTCTGTTACCACAGGTAATCAAGAGGATTAGGGAAACGCGCCACACGGTGCTCCTTATAGCCCCGCGAAGGGAGAACTAAATCTGGTTCCCGGAGCTGATGCGGCTGTCACACACAGCCCCTTGGCCGATTCCGGTGAGGAGGGACCTCCTCTCTCAAGCCCGCGGCTCAATCTGGCATCCCCATCCAGAGCACTGGTCTCTGCACGCATGGGTAATCAACGGATACCCGTTGTCTTGCCAGAAGGAGTGATGAACACGATTACGCAATCCAGAGCCCCCTCTACGAGGCGCTTTACGCGTCTAAATGGTCTGTGTTCTCCAAATGGTGTGCCGATAGAGATCTAGACCCACGAACGTGTGGGGTCCCGTGGTTGCTTGGCTTCCTTCAAGAGCTGTTGGATAAGGGCAGGTCCCCATCCACGCTTAAAGTATATGTGGTGGCCGTCGCAGCGTTCACTGAGTCGATGAGTGGTCAGTTAATAGGAAGAAACGAGCTTGTCATCCGCTTCCTTAGAGGAGCCAGAAGGATGAACCCCCGCGACCCCCGTCGGTTCCCATGTGGGATCTTTCATTGGTCCTATAGGCCCTGAAAGCTTTCCCCTTTGAACCGTTAGACTCCGTGGACCTAAAGTACCTCTCGCTCAAAGCCGTTTTTCTGACAGCTCTGTCATCAGTTAAACGTGTAGGGGATTTACACGCGCTATCTGTTAGCGCTGCGTGTCTTGAGTTTGGGCCAAATGACTCCAAAGTCATCCTCAAGCCAAGGCACGGTTATGTCCCAAAAGTGTTGGGCACTCCCTTTAGAGCGCAGGTCATTTCTCTCTCGGCTCTGCCAGTATCCGATAGTGAGGGCGATGTTAATCTCCTCTGCCCTGTCAGGGCGCTGAGGGCTTACATTACGTGCTCCGCCCCTTTCAGGCGTTTGGAACAGCTTTTCGTTTCATTTGGTGGGCGCAACAGGGGTCTCGCCGCCTCGAAACAGAGCCTCTCCAGATGGATAGTGGAAGCTATCGCATCCGCCTATGGGTGTAAAGGCCTGCAATGCCCCCTGGGCATCAGGGCGCACTCCACTAGAGGTGTGGCCTCGTCGTGGGCTTGGTCCAGCAGAATTTCCATTCACGACATTTGTGAGGCGGCAGGCTGGGCCTCTCCGTCTACTTTTGTCAGGTTTTATAACCTGGAAGTTCCCGCCCTGCAGGCTAGACTTCTGTCAGTATGAGATGTGTGTATGTCTTGCCCAGACTTATCATGCGCAGACTACTCTCACGCGATTCTGGCTCTCCTGGTTGAGCCGCACTGTACGGTGAATATTATATGGATATATTATATATTATATGCTATAACATGTGCTGGCCCGCACTGCTGGCCACCTGTTTCCCACTTATCTATGTTCCCCGGGAATCCCTGGGACTCATGAAGTGGATGCTGGGCGCGCACGGCGTTGACAATGGGTTCCCGTAGTGTAAGCAACTTACGCAATACAAGAGAACCTCTCATAAGAGAACGTACTCGGTTACGTACGTAACCTCGGTTCTCTATAGTAGAGGGAACGAGTATTGCGTAACCCGACTGTGCAGGCGCCAAGAGTGAATTTTCGCTTTAGCTGATGAAACCAGTGATGCAGCCCCCGAGCTCGTCTTTTATACACTAAGCCACCCCCCCTTTCTGGCGGGCTGTGACGTCACGCGCTAGGCTCAGCGGTAGGCTGCAGCAGTTTCCGCAGGGCAGCCAATGGGCACGCAAGATAGCCTGCTCTAGATCTGCTGGCTGCTGCACTGCGTTGACAATATATGAAAAATTAAGGTTAATTTTTGGCTTCAATATCTCGAGAAAAGATGACTTTACTCGTAGCGTGAGCAACTTACGCAATACTGGTTCCCTCTACTAGAGAGAACCGAGGTTACGTACGTAACCGAGTACTTTTTTTCAGTAGTTGTCAGTCTGTGTTTGTGGAATATTTCCCATAAATTTTCCCCAAGTCTAAATCCTTTCTATAAAGGAAGGATTTTGAGGATTTTAGTGCATTTTCACTAGGTTTTGAAGTCTTGGTAATAAAAATGTAATGTCCTTTAAAAAAAACTTTTTGTCCTGAAAATACTCAATGGGTTTACTATAAAAATGTATGTAATTGTGTCAATATATCAGTGATTTTGAAGGTTTCACTGTGAATAGACACACAAATTTGTTAACAACTTTGGGGATTATCGAACCTCAATTTATTGTCCTGGCTTAAAAAAAAAAACAAAAAAAACCTTTATGCATTGAATTTACACATTAATTGTTTTTATATTTAAAAAAATATTTTATATATTTTTTATTTAGACATTTATAAAAATAAAAATTAAATATCTGTTTTTTTTTTGTTTACTTTGAATATCCTATTCATTAAATAATCTTTAAAAAGTTTCACAGTTTCCACAATAATATTAAGCACTACAACTGTTGTCAACATTATTATTTATAATAAAATGCTTCTTGAGCAGCAAATCAATGTATTACTATATACAAAATAATGATGTGACACTGAAGACTGAAGTCGTGACTGCTGAAAATTCAGCTTTGTCATAAAATATATTTTAATTGAAAACAGTTCTTTAAAATTTTAATAATATTTCACAATATCACTGTTTTAAAGTATTTTTGATCAAATAAATGCAGCGTTGGTGAGCATTACAGAATTCTTTCAAAAACATTTAAAAACGCACCACCTGACCACAAACTTTTGAACAGCAGAGTAAGTATTGTTTACAAAGGTTATCTCTGGAGATTATAATTAAAAATACAAATTCAAAGTTCTTTTGAAGGAAAAAAGCTGAATATATCTGAACTCTGAAGTGCAGGTACCTTCTGTCGGGGAGGAAGTAGATTTTGACGTAGGGATTCCTAGGCCGCCCGTCTTCTCGTGAAGGGAGATCTTTGGCGCCCAGGATAGTGACAATGAGTTGATGTCCCACTTTATCGTACCATAGCTTGACCTGCAGGAAGACACGGACTCTCTTAGGTGGTATGTAACGAAAGCTTACCCCAGAGGTTCCAGGGCAGCCCTGCAGAAGCGTCACATGCTTGGCAGAACTTTCCCAGAGCAGGTACAGCACCAGCACACACCAACTAAATCAAGCTAACTACCTCTCAAGATCAACTTTGATGATCAACTAAATTCACCACAAAAAAAAAAAAAAAAAAAACGAAATTCAAACTATTTCTAAACACTGAATCACATAGTTTGATACCACAATGTTTCTGGGGGCTGACTTTTTGATGCACTTAATATTCCAGGTTGAATACAGCTTCATTATCACAGAATCTTTTTTTGACTTGCATCTCAGTTTGTAAAAACTTTTGTTTACAGTAAACATACTGTATTGCACTTACTATGGGGAAAGACATCATCTAAATTAAAAGCGATTAAAACCCTTTGCCTTTTGAGGGAATATGGGCTGTGTTGAATGACGACACTTTGGAGAACTACTCCAGCGTGACAGTGTCTGAAGCACGTGTGAAACTAGTCCAATCCTGATTGGCATTGTGCCGTGACGTAGCTAGTGACGGTGCACCACGGAAGCTACAAAGGTAAGCTGGCACACAATAGCATCATCTTCTGTTCTTCAGCAAGTGATCTGTGTGTGTGTGTGAGACTGTCATTTAAAGTTCTATGTCCTATTTGGTGTTGTTTATCCTGACAAAAGAAAGAAATTATGGCGAGTAAGATAGCTACAAAAAGTGTGTGCCTCCCTGACCCAGATACATCACGGGAGGGGACACACACAAGTTTTGTGTTCTCTGCCTGGGAGCAGAGCATGCATGGGCAGCTCTCGAGGGGGGGCTGCCTGTACTCACTGTGAGCAGCTGCCGATCAGGATGTTCCTCTCCCACCTCCAAGTTCACGTTCCTCAGGGTTCGGGACCTGCATCTGCCGAGGCAGTGCGGCATCTTAAAATCATGGTATTCGCAAATGGAACTTGCAGAAGAGGTGGAGACAGCTTCGGCCCTTTCTCTTCCATCATCTGCAGGTTCCAGCCCTCGCATTTGGGATACGGAAGCCTGCTCTGCGGCTTCATCCACCCCGAGCAAGTGCTCAATGCTTGAGTTCTTCAGTTCTGAGGAATTGGAAGCTCTCAGCATTGAGGCGGGGGATATTGAGGATTTGCTACCCTCTTCCCCCACTTATGTGGAACTGGTTGAGGTTGTGACTTGTGCGTGGTAGCTTGCTTTTTCATTTAGTTTCTACAGAACTCAGTTTGGCTAGCAGATAAAAGCTTTCTGTTAAGCCAAGCACAACCTCAGCGCCGAGGCTTACCGATCTTTCACGATCTCCATGTAGAGTTATTGAGATGGAAGAAGTTGTTCTCTTCCTGCTTATCGAGCCCATCAGCAAATGTGTATTCCAACATAATGGGCTCCATGGCAGCATTGGTGGCAATGGAGAGGCATTTGTGGTTGAACCTCTTCATCAAGGAGAGGGATAGAACATTCCTCCTTGATGCCCCGCTGTCACCTTCTGGCCTCTTCGGTGAAACTGTAAGTTCAGTCGCTGAAAGGTTTCAGGAGGTGAAACGTCTATCCCCTCGCACCTTCACAACGTACGTGGATGCAGCACTGGCTCCTCTGAGACTCCAGGGCATTTGTGTGCTCAATTACATAGACGACTGGTTGATTTTAGCCCAGTCCCGACAGATGGCGGTTTGACATCAAGATGTTGTTCTTGCCCACATAAGGCGCTTGGGGCTTAGGCTCAATTACAAGAAGAGCGTGTTATCTCCCCTTCAGAAAATTACCTTTCTCTGGGTAGTTTGGGATTCCACTACAATGCGGGCACGTTTGTCTCCCACTCGTATCAAGTATATTATGACGGCAGTAACCAGGATCAATCTAGGCCAAGCCATCACTGTAAAACATTAAAAGATTGCTGGGGCTCATGGCAGCTGCGTCCAATGTAATATATTTTGGCCTGCTGTAAATGAGACCCCTGCAGTGGTGGCTCAAAACCAAGGGGTTTTCCCAGAGATGGTGGAGTTAACCCTCTGAGGATAGGTCCTGCTGGATTTTTTCCTTATAACGGCAGAAACAACTCAAAATACTCTGTCATTTTTGGGGATACAGATAAAGTATAAAAGTTTAAACTATAAAGTTTCTTTAAATCTACTTTTATTTGTGTACACTCACAATAACAACAAAACTTTGTGCTTTTGTAAAACAAAGAAAAAAATCAGGGTACGCTTTCTGCCGTCTCAGTCTCTGGGTAATTCTTTCTGAAACATTTCATAAAAATGAGCCGGAACTCACCGAATACTTGCCACACAGACATAAGAGATGCGTTTCGACAGACAACCCACTGTCCGCTGTGGTTATCCCTCAGGCAATGCAGCTCCACTGGGGCTGGATGCCATGTTACAGGCGTGGCCGAGCCGAGTGCTTTGGGTCTCCCAAGAAGGAGTCCCCAATGCCTTAACCTCTGTTGATCAGGACACACTCTATGAGGAGTCTTACATCCTCGAAAGCTCTATTATCGGGGGGTTCCTTCCAAGAAGTCTGTGAAGACATTTATGAGATTCTACAGTCTGGAGTCCCTTTGCCACACCTCCTGAATGCTTGAGAGCGGCTTGCTTCAGCCTACCAGAAGCTGAGGCTGTTGTGTGCTGGCTTACCTTTGTAGCTTCCGTGGTGCGCCATCACACGGTACGTAACGACGCATATATATAATATATATATATATATATATATATATATATATATATATATATATATATATATATATATATATATATTATTATAGTTTAAATACTATAATAAAATATAAATAAAACTGCTGTTTTGAATGAACAGCCATGTTAAAGACTAACAATATACAGGTCCTTCTAAAAAAATTAGCATATTGTGATAAAGTTCATTATTTTCCATAATGTAATGATAAAAATTAAACTTTCATATATTTTAGATTCATTGCACACCAACTGAAATATTTCAGGTCTTTTATTGTTTTAATACTGATGATTTTGGCATACAGCTCATGAAAACCCAAAATTCCTGTCTCAAAAAATTAGCATATCATGAAAAGGGTCTCTAAACAAGCTATTAACCTAATCATCTGAATCAACTAATTAACTCTAAACACCTGCAAAAGATTCCTGATGCTTTTAAAAACTCCCAGCCTGTTTCATTACTCAAAACCGCAATCATGGGTAAGACTGCCGACCTGACTGCTGTCCAGAAGGCCATCATTGAAACATCAAGAAACAGCGGCAGAAGCCCCTGACCTGGGGCTACAGAGAAGCAGCACTGGACTGTTGCTCAGTTTTGCATGTCATTCGGAAATCAAGGTGCCAGAGTCTGGAGGAAGACTGGGGAGAAGGAAATGCCAAAATGCCTGAAGTCCAGTGTCAAGTACCCACAGTCAGTGACGGTCTGGGGTGCCATGTCAGCTGCTGGTGTTGGTGCACTGTGTTTTATCAAGGGCAGGGTCAATGCAGCTAGCTATCAGGAGATTTTGGAGCACTTCATGCTTCCATCTGCTGAAAAGCTTTATGGAGATGAAGATTTCATTTTTCAGCACGACCTGGCACCTGCTCACAGTGCCAAAACCACTGGTAAATGGTTTACTGACCATGGTATTACTGTGCTCAATTGGCCTGCCAGCTCTCCTGACCTGAACCCCATAGAGAATCTGTGGGATATTGTGAAGAGAAAGTTGAGAGACGGAAGACCCAACACTCTGGATGAGCTTAAGGCCGCTATCGAATTGATAGCAGTCATTTCTGCAAAAGGATTCCCGACCAAGTATTGACTATTGAGTGCATAACTGAACATAATTATTTGAAGGTTGACTTTTTTTTTTGGTAATAAAAACACTTCTTTTATTGGTCGGATGAAATATGCTATTTTTTTTAGACAGGAATTTTGGGTTTTCATGAGCTGTATGCCAAAATCATCAGTATTAAAACAATAAAAGACCTGAAATATTTCAGTTGGTGTGCAATGAATCTAAAATATATGAAAGTTTAATTTTTATCATTACATTATGGAAAATAATGAACTTTGTCACAATATGCTAATTTTTTGAGAAGGACCTGTACATGGTAACATGAGACTAGTGTTCGTTTCACAGTTACGTTTCACAGACAAGGTTAGTAACAAACTCTAATGACAAGACCAGACACAGGCAAACCCAGTGAGTTTTACACAATGGTCTACATTCATGATGACAATTTACATTACAACAAAATTATTTTAGAAATGGTTTACACATACAAATTCACTCATGTTTTCACACTTGCCCAATACAGCTAATTCATGAAAGAATATCGGAAGGACACCTTTAATGTAAATGTGTTTTTACTTTTCTTTTACAAACTGAGGGACAAGTTTTTGGAAGAATCTGCAGTATGCCACATCAATATATATTAAACTGCATTTAACCCAAAATATTAGAGGGGAACTACAACTTGTCTATGATTTCTGAAATCTTGCATGTTAGGCTTAGGATTTGAACAGTTGTTTGTGTGCTAGTCTGGGTTGTGGAATATTCCATTTCTCATTGGCTGGCCAGGGGATGAGGGCGTGTCTACCACAAATCTCGTCCAATCAGATGACTCAAATGTAGTCACAATTTGTCACATTTATTCTAAAACTGACAGACACTTTCAAAGCCCAGCAATCCAAATCAGATCAAATACCACACAAGAGACTAAGCAAAGGAAAAGTTAACATAAAACAAATCATTTTTTAAACTTTGTGTGATTATCTAATTTCAACCCAAACTAGAATTTAAATGAAGCAGCTTTGAAAGTCTCAGTTGCATCTATCTAGGAATGAAATAAACTAAATATTAATTCTCATACATGCATACTACAATTATCCTAAAAACCAAGAAGGGCAAAAACTGGAAGGTTTTGAAACTGGCGGACAAAAATATGAATAAATAAATCATTAAATAATCAGATTCATCTCGCCAAAAATTATTAATTTATCCTGAAATAAATTAATTAGCAGTTAAATAAATCTAAACTTACATGTCCTTACTTGAATAAACAATTAAATCAAAAGTCACATGTATTCATTTATTTAGAAATAATTAAATCAGTGTTAATCAGTATAATGAGTTAAAAGGTGCTTATTTGTTTATTTATTTATTAAAGGCAGTGTAGGCAATTTGCTCCAGAATTATAATTGTTTTGTTATGCTGGTTGAAAGTCTCCACATCCTGATAGCAATCACTACGTTAAGTGCTCTAAATGTATTTATATGTATATATATCGTCTGTAGAAGGCATAGAACCACACAATGTTTGTCCAATCATTGCATTCGGTCCATTTATGTGTTTCAATGGCAACACTATCAATGGTGTAATGAATCTGCCGCAGTCAGGTGGTACAAGTCAGTGCTCTTTAAGTTGTTTATGCTCATTATTACAGTACTGTAATGCTATGTGCGTTGAGACATGAGGTACTTTAATGCCGTTTCTCTACTCGTGAAGCTTTGAAAACTCTGCTGTGTGCATTCATGTGTTTTGAAGGAGGCGTGGCTTTGGAGAGCACTCTGAAGGGAGGGTGGGATCTCATGCTTTCAAAGCTAACTTGCTATTGCTAGCCACTCCGAAAATTGCCTACCCTACCTTTAAATCAAATAATGAAATGCTTCAATTTGTTTGTAATATTTCATATATCCAATTGGACAATTTGTTTTGTAATGTAATTACCTTTTTGTTTTTTGCATAGAAAAATAGTATTTTGTCACGTTTAATAACACTAGGTTTGCTTCCCGAATGACAAATTAAACATTTAATTATAAAATTTTGAGTACTTTGGTCCTCTATGAACACTTCTCAAGCATTGATAGTAGCTTAATTATCTCACTTCCAAGCATTTGCCCTTTTAGATCATTAGAGCTAAAAGAAACACTATATTGCATCTTTAGAGAGAACTTACTATTCTAAAACATACTCCATTACTAATGCATGCAGCAAAGCAACAGAAAGTGCTCAATACAGACTAGGGCAATCCAGGTAGCTTCCATTGCAAAAAACAGCAGGGGGAGGCTTCAGTCCAAACAAATTGTACCATTTGATTCTTACACAGATGTATCGAGGTCTGTGTTTTTATTAGTTGACTGCATCAGGAATAGGGTTGGGTACTGTTTGAATTTTAGCGATTCCGATTCTAATTCCCATTCTGCTTATCAATTCCGATTCTTATTGATTCCCAGTTTTGATTCCAATATGGTAAAAAAAAAAAACTTTTACATATCTTTGCAAAACATTCTGAAATACCATGAACGGTAACACTTTATTTTAGGGTTCAGTTCTCACTTTGAACTAGTTGCCTATTAGCTTGCATATTACTAGGATATTGGCTATTTATTAGTACTTATAAAGCACATATTTATGCTTTATATTCTGCATGACAAAAGTTATTCAGTCAAGATCAGTGAGTGATTTTCTTTTTCTTTCATTCTTTGATTAACAGTAATGACAGATAACAGCAGGTTTATTAGGCTGCTGTTACTTTACGACTTAATGCACAGATCCAATATACTTGTACACATGTGTTTTCTTTCTCAACGGTTTACTTTCACTTAAGGCGAGACACTACAGGTGAATAGGGTAATTTTTTAACTAGCAGATATCACCATGAAACTTTCCCAGTTGATTACCTACATTAAGATGAGAAAAAAAATGTATTACAAGTTTTCTGTAATTTAATGTTTAAATATGCAAATTAGGCATGATCTAATTAAATATGCGCTAATTTGCATATATTTCAAAAAATGAAATCTGAGTATTGGATAAAGCCAGGTTCAAAATTATTTTTTCATTGTGTTCACATATTAGATAGGAAAAAAATTACAGAGGGATTTATGGATATCTACTTTTGTTATCTTGTAAATCAGAATATACTGTCAATAGCCTTAAAAAATGATTTTTGCCATGTTTTTTGGAATAAAATGTTATATAAATCAGGCTTGGAATAATATATTTATAAATCCCTCTGTAAATGTCTTCATAATATAACTAGGTACAAGACTGGAAGGTTTGGTGTATGTAAGTGCTACTGAAGTGGAGATTTCGGACTTGGAGTATGAGAGAAAAGTCATTTTGAGAAAACTGGCTTTAAAGATTTAGCATCAGCCACTGAGATTGCGCATTTGCGCCATTTTACTTTCACGATTGGTTGCTGATAAAAAGGAAATGACCATATTTGGATCCGACAACATTGTACAGGAGAGAGTGAGCTTTCTAACGGTGTGTGTGATGACAGGGTGCAGACAGCGATCGCGGAGCAGCGGATGATTTAGATCGCCAACTTTTGATGAATTTATGAGAAATCTACAGACGCAAACAAAGTGTCGTAAAAAAAAAAGACCTAAATATGTATTTCGGACTCACCACAAGTCTGAAAGAAGACATGTTATTGAAGACAAATATTCCAAAATCTCAAAATTTACCAGTGAAAAAAAAAACTGTTTTTGCCTGCCGTGTCTCGCCTTAAGACATAACTGACTGTGTTTGTTTAAGATAGTATTTTGACAACAGTTTGTGTGTATTTGTCCGTTCAAGCGCAAGAAGACGTGAAAGAGAACTCAATTTAGAATTCATACACTATATGAGAGGTCAAATTTTGTGCGTGCGCTCTGGATGTCTCCAGCACCCAAGTGCCGAAATGAGTTTTATTTCGCGTCTTCTTGCTCTTGAATGGTTTTGAACCACAGGAATCGATAAGTGGAATCTATTCGATAAGTGGAATCTTTTTTTTTTTTTTTTTTAACAAGTATCCTTGGCCTAAAGTATCCGATTCCAGAAATGGAATTTATTTTTGATCCAAACCCTAATCGGGAAACAATAGTCTGAAAATCTAACATCACAATATCTAAATTTTCGAAAAACTACAGCAACAACTATTGGAGTTATTACAGTTAAATGATAAATCATTAGCAAGTGCTATTAAAGAATTAGTTCACTTAAAAATGAATATTCAACATTTACTCTCCCTCATATTGTTCCAAATATGTATTATTATTGTTTTTCTCTGTGAAACACAAATCAATGTTTGTTTTTTTAAATACTTGGCACATTAAGATGTCACTGCAGGTTTTTTTGTCAATGATGTCTTGTGTGCATAACATGCCAGGTTTAAACTACTTCTTATTTGTTACCCAGAAGAAAGCATGTCATATGGGTTTGCCTAAACTGTAGTCATTTGGTACAATTTGTTTATTTATCTATGAAGTTTAGAAAAATTTTCTACATTGGAAAATGCAATATTATCTTGAAAGTGTGGCAATTAACAGTGTATCTCTTCATTATAACACAGAACATAATATTTGATAGTACTGATACTCTTTGGCATTGATTTTTTTTTAAATTGTACTAAACATTTAAACTAGCAACATGCATTTCATACAAATAATTTCTTTAAAATATGATACAAATATAAAGTTCCATGTTACATGACAAAGAATGAAAAATTTCTGTCTAAAAAAATCCATTTAAAATTTAAAGAGACTTAATTTAGTAACTTACGCTAATTACAAAATCATGCCACATTTAAAAAGAGGGCAAAACAAATGTCTCTTTAAACTATTAAAACAGGTGTGTAATTCATGCAGAATATTTCAAGCCTCAACCAGATGGCTTTTCAATTAATTAAGCAAAAATCAGACTGCAATAATGAAACAGCTCTTATGAATTGTGGTTATCAATTGCAAGGGCAATGACATATTTGGGGGGGGGGGGGGGGGGAATAAAAACTGAACAAAAGAGCAAGGGGGAGAAACTTGGAATGCTGCCGTTTTCCTGCAGTGCATTTTCCAAATAACGCACAGAGAGAGTAATGAAGGATTGAGAAAGACTGCCAGAAATGAAAGAAAAGATTAAAAAAAGACTGAGCAGAGAAAGAGAGAGAGAAGTCTGATGATGTTACCTGGACCCTAGGGACAAAAGGCGTGGTTCTTCTACTAAGGCATGGACTCTGGATAAGCAAAATTAACAAAGAAAACAAAAGCAATACAACTAAACCAAAACTGCACAGAGGCACACAAATTAAAACAACCCATCTGAGAAGAAATTTAGCCTAACAGAGTGATGTAAGACAGCTCTTATTCATTTATCAAACTGCTTCATACTACAATATTACGAGAATCTTAAAGCTGAATTAACCTTAGGCTCATGTGTGAGTCCTGAATAGTGTCAAAAGATGATTCTTAACGCAATGCAAGTATGCTTATACAACCACAGTGACACATGTTGGTATGTACAGCTTGTGTAGAATACCTTTCAACTTTAAATGCCTTATAATGTTTCTCAATAATGTATACAGTCAACAACAACATGCAGCAATGATCAGTATATGTGTGTTTTCAGGTTTTAGGATAAATCTCCCTCATTCCAAACGAAAAGAAAACAAATTTACAACATCACAACCCATACCAAGAAAGAAGAACAGATACACGTCAGCGCAAAAACAGAAAAAAAAACACTTCTTTTACTATTATTGTTAATCAGCATTGCCTTTTTAAAAACAATCTCTCCACATTTAATATGTTCCCAATTGTTGCTACAGCTCATTTCCTTATTAAACAATTAAAAGGAACAATAATTGCTAATTGTTTCCCATGCCTGAAGCTATTTACTGTACTGTATGAAAGCACTAACACCTGGATGAAACTTACCTCACAGACGTCTCAGGCGTACAGTTAGGACCACTGATAATGCACACTGTGTAAATTATTCATACGCTTCCCCTAAGTTTCAAACTGCCGTTAAGACCGAGGTTGATCGTTAAAGTAGACTGAACAACTTCAGAGAAATGTACAGTAGCTACCCCTTCAAGGAATTGACTTTACCTAACATCCTGATCCACCTGCGCTGTGTCAGAGCTGACCTGCAGAGTCTACGTCAATCGGGTAACAAGCTTGAAAACTAAGATTACGTTTTCCATTACGGGATTCCTTCCAGAATCCAGGCTGATCTGTGACGGACACTGTCTCGGACTAAAACAACTGTCTAGAATCACATAATACACCTGCCCCAAACTATATATATATATCGCTAACTTTTTTAAATGTAATAAACGATTTTAATTAAATATAAATTGTTTTATATATCCTATGTTTAGCTCATTTAACTTTATAGCATAGAGCACAGATTTAACACAAAATGATTTATTTAAATTTCTCATTTGTAGCATTTAGTAGCATTTAGCATTCCACAAACCTGAAATACAAGTATCAAAATTAAGTACAATTGTAATACACCGGCACAACCTAATTAGGGTTTATTTAAAAAAAAGCTAGTAATTAAGTTATATATTGTGCTAAAAATGTTATAAAATTACAATATTGTCACCACTTACTGAGTCCTGACTGTGGAGTGACTCATAACGTCTATTTCTAAATGAGCAATCTCTTGGGAATCCTCAAACATTTAGCTAATTATGACATTAACAGGTATTAAAAATACATTTTATGCTTCTAAATTAGAAAGAAGGAGAGTTTATCTCTTATTTATGTGGAACTAGATGTTAATGTATTTATGTATGTTAAAATTACAAAGAACAGCATTTTTTAAATTGTATTATAATTATTGGGCATGCAGTTTTTATGACCTCATATCAGGAGCGATCACATGAAATATCTGTATTTTTCAAAAATGAATTTGTCACACTGCAGGACTATTCAAATTAACCAGTGAAATAAAAAATCTGATAATAGTGGTGATTTTTGTATTTATTTGTAAACATGATTTTTCCCATATGCTTATAATACACTACAGTTCAAACGTTTGAGGTCAGTACGTTTTGTTTTAATGTTTTCCATAGAAGTCTGTAATTCTCTAATGTAAGGCTGCAATTATTTGCAAAACAGTAATATTGTGAAATATTATTACAATTTAAGTTATAATTTAAGTGTTTTCTATTTGAATATATTTGAAAATGTAATTATTCCTGTGATGAAAACAGCATTTATTTGAAATAGAAATCTTTACTTTAATGTCTATATTGCCACTTTTGACAATGTAATGCATCCATGCTGAATAAACTGATAAAAATAAATACAAATAACCTTTTGAACAGTAGTATAAATTAACTATATTCCTGATGTTGAAAAAAATGAATCATGTCCATTTGTCAACTCCGCACATACTCTTTTAAAGCTTTATAGAATCTTATCTACTATAACTCCTTGATCTGAGCCAATATCTGTGTGAATGAATAGTGTGTGCCGGCAAATGCCCTGGAGATGTATTGAAATAATGGCTAAACATCAAAGCTAGCACCATTTCATCAGAGAAACCCTGAGTTGAGCAGCCAAAGACAAGCAAAAGAAGTCTAGATATCAGTCAATTGTGCGGAGCATCTGAACAGATGCTGGTACTCACTGAGAGCTGTCCAGACAGATACTGAGGGTTGTCCCGATGCATGCCAGGACTCATGGGGGACGTGACAGAGATAGAGGGACCCATTTTTTGGGATTCGAAGGAACTTGAACCTAAAAAAAATAATGAATGAAGGTTTAGATCATTGATCCTCCTGCTAGCTAAAGCAATGCTAAAGTACTGATGTGTTTCAAACAAATATCAAAACCAACTAAACTTACTTGATTCAAGTTGTCCATGTGTGCTCTCTGGTATTCTAGGGACATCTCTACAAGGAAAGAGTGAAGAACATTTTAATGGAGAGCATCCCAACTATATGTCAGAAAGTAATCGGGAAGGTAAAAAATATCAAGCTTTGATTAAATATATATATATATATATATATATATATATATATATACTGTATATACTAGGGATGCCACAATTCTCAATATAATATTGAACCTTTCGGTACGACATCCACGGTTCAATACGTGCTTGTGAATTGCGTTTTTTTCAGTTTTACATTTAAATAATTTATGTGCGTTTTATTTCTCTCCGAATTGACTGTTTGTGTGTGCCTGTAAGTCTACGAGGTGAGATGAGGAAACTCCTCCCCGCGAGTAAATATTCAATCACTATGCTCTAAAGTTAGGGGGCGCGCGCGCGGCTTAACCATCATTCCACACTTTAACATGGCGAGTGGCGGTGAAGTGAGGCTGAGGAAGCACCGGCGTCTTTCAAATACGTGGTGTGGGGACATTTCGGTTTTGCCGTTGAGTATAATGCCGAGGAAGAAAAAACGGTAAACAAAAAAATGACTGTGTGCAAGCATTGTTTTACACGTGTAGCCATACTCAAACGGAAACGGAAACACTTTACTGAAGTGCAAGTATATTTATTTGAAATGGTCAATTTATGTTTACCAACTTCACATGTATGTTTACAGTATTTTCAAAATGTATGTGTTCCCCAGTTTGTACATGGGCTACCAGCAGCTGTGAAATGTCAGTGTTAATTTTATATTATACAATACACTAGGAACTAGTGGACTTTTCTTAGCTTTTAAGTAAAATAAAGGAGTATTGTAATAAATCGTTATTTTTTTTTTTTCTCCTTAACCTCTTACTGTTCCTATTGCCTAAGCATAGAATAACAAAAAAACACTCTCATGTATCAAGCTGTCAGAACCGAACCGAACCGAAAACCGTGGTTAAAAAACCGAGGTATGTATTGAACCGTGGGCTAACTGTATTGTTGCATCCCTAATATATACACTGCATATATTCTATGAAATGGTTTTAATCTCAATCATTTCAACCAAACAGCCATTTTTGTAATAGTTAATTCATAATAGTTATAAACAGCAATCTTATCCTGATTGTGTTTTAGGAAATATAATTACCAAATAAAAACATCATTAAAATATCAAATATTTACAATGGTAGGTAATTTTACTGTATATTGCCATAAAAATAATTTTAAATGCATCACTGATATATTGCCCAGCTCTTCAATGTTAACCTGAGCAGCTGACCATTTTGGTGATAGACTCTTAATTGCTGAAGGTAGAAAGAAATATCTAGCATTTTGAAAGACACAAACAATAATTTCAAAGCATGTCAAGATGTTCTCCTAAAGCACAGACCTGAAGCAGGACTTTCATTTCAAATCATGAATGTTGAAGTTTCCGCATGTGTGTGTGTGTGTGTGTGTGTGTGTGTGTATGTGAATATAAGCATTCATATGTTGAGCTACCACAGGCAATCCTTCTTCATAAGCCTCCATTGTCAAAGAAAATGTGCTCCGTGTCCCTGAACTGAGATATTGAGTAATAATCCATCACCCGCTTTAACTCACCCAATGGGCCGTGAGACCACCAGCTCCACCTGGGGCTCTGGCTTGGATTCTAGAATTATATTGTAAACTTCTTTGAATGTGGCTCCCTGCAAGACCCTCCCGTTCCACTCCAGAACCTGATCACCTGAGGACGGATACAACACAGGATGTCCACAACATAGAATATTATCTCCACTTAAAACAACACACTTTTAATTTTACTACATCATTTACTCACTTTTATGTCATTCTAAAACCATGAGACCTCCATTGGAAGACCATGAAACCAAAACTTTGACACTTCAAAATATTTATAAAGACATTGTAAAAGTAATCCACATGAACCGAGCAGTTTAATCGAAACACAAATGAAGATATTTTTAAATAAAGTTAATAGATTTCTGTCCATTCCACCAAAAATGTAAATATAAAAAAAAACTCATATATACATGAGTAGAAGTGTAGAAGTAATTCATATGAACTGAGCACGGGCGGTTTAATCAAAGCACAAATTAAGAAGATTTTCATAATACCAAAGAGATTTCTGTCCCTCCATTGAAAATCTAACTTTAAATATACTAAATTACATGAAGATATTGTAAAAGTAATTTATGAGGGTGACAGAATTTTCTTTTCATTTTTGTGTGTGTGTGTGAGCTAACATTTTAAGTAAAAAAAAGACAAAACATAAAAAAAGCTTGATTTTTAACTTCTTTTGTCATATAGTGGAACCACAAAATTCAGCAGGATTGTAGAAGCAGCAGCTTCTACAATAATAGACAAAGATGCTAAAGTACTGAAAGAAATGTGTTTAATTGTGGTTTGAACAGAAGTGTTGACCTGGTCGTAGATGGCCGACAGTGTCTGCTAGACTTCCTCTCTTCACCTTCGTGATGAAAGCACAAAGTCTGCCAGACTCTGTCATCTTCCCTCCCACAACCTGCAACAAAGACAAATAAAGGCAATGAAATTTATTTAAAATATGTTTTCACATGAAATTGCAATTTTTCCAGAACAAAGGGTCTGAAAGGTGATTATTTATCTGGATTTTAACTACAGAAAGTTTGACCTCTACCATAGAGAAATGATGATGATCCCCAGGCATCAAAACATTACAACACCATGTGTGCTAATACTGTGGGGCGAGTTTACTATGAATGAACTGATAGCGTTGCTTATTTGCATGCATTTTCTGTACACCCCATTTACTAAAGAAACTATGCAAATCAGACAACAAAGCAAACACACCCACAAAATTAATACTAAATACAGTTTGTCCAGGGGAAATTGCTCCATATTCACATAAATGTACCCAGATAATGGCTGAAAGACAGTGAGTGGGCAAACTTTCAGTAACTCAAGCACTATATTAGCATAAATAGTGCCCTTTGTGGGAATGGGCACTGTTTTAAGTGTAATGGGCCATCATCAGCAACCATTTTATAATACAAGAACTTCAAACTGGCAAAATTCAGTCCACAATATTGTGACAAAGGTCAAAGTTCAAATCATTAAGATAATGTAAAACCTGCAGTATTGCGTATGAAGCTGATCAAGTATTTGCTGAAGTTCTCTTATGATTGAGGTTTATTAGCATGACTTTTAATGGGTGAACTCTGACAGTGTTTGGGAATCTCTTACCTTGAGGCCCAGCAATGCCCCAGTGTCTCTGGGAACTGTGCCATCTTTCATCCGCTTGTTTAGCACTATCCGCCCTATTAGGCGCTCTCCATCTTTGGAAGGTTGCCATGTCACCGGGTGCTATGGGGTCAAAGTGATAATACACCTTTGGTCTTTATACAAGCATTCACTCCGCACATTACACACACACACATACAGGCTCAGGGAAATTAGAGGAGGAGGGTGAACTCTTACTTGCTGTGAAGACACAAACCATCCCAAGTTGTTACTTAAAAATAAGGCATTGTTTTAAAGGCAAAATGAAATACATTCACACAACCGTTTTTACTTTTGTATCATATATTCTAATGAAACAGGATATTCAACAAAAAAAATGTAGGATGGTATTTGATTTTATCTATTGAGGATTGATCGAGTCATGACAAAAGTGGGCCTTTTAGACCAGAATGGAGTAATCCATCTTTTTTTTTATCTTGTCATGATGAATTTATAAAAGCAATAAACACCATTACATTTACAGTATTTGAAGAAATAATTCACACAAAATTGAAGATCCTGTCATCATTTTCTAACTCTCATGTCATAAACCAATCTAATAAAGAAAAGCCTGAAAGAGTTCCCATCCTCTGCAGGTCTCAAATCTAATATACACTTAGGTTCATTTCAAATGGTGCATCAAGACATACAGTGTCACATTTGATGTAAATTACATACAGTATATGTTTTTTTTTTTTTTTTGTATCTTGACACTGGGGTTAAACTTTTCACCACATTTGAATTGAATGAGACTTAAAAGCTGCTAGGAAGGTGAAGATAATCAGGGTTTAACATTTACATTAGGCCATATTTTTACAGACTTTGTAAAAATAAGTGACTTGTTCCTCACTCAAAGCTATCATGGCTTCAGAAAACTTGGAAAATATAACATGATTTGTATAGACCACTTTGTGGTACAGTACATGTTTTTGCCATTGTTTGAGCCTGACAGCCTCAGTCGCCATTATGAATAAAGCATCCTGCAGTACATCTTCTGTTGTGTTCCACAGAGGAAAATAGTAATACAGGTGTGGAACGACAGTAAATGATGACAGAATCTTGGCATTTGCTAACAGCATGAAAGTAATTGTCTTCAAAATATGTTTACACCCTGTAGGGGTCGGTTTGTGCGTTCATCAAGTACAGACACAATAGACAGGACAGGGTTAGAGGTATCAAGCACACTATTCTGTGGACAGCAACTCACAGTATTGAACTAGATCAGCAGTTCTCAACTGGTGGATCAAAACACAGTTCTGATAGGGCAGATATTAATATAGTAAAGCAATAAGCCCCGAGAAGCAGTGGTTTACAGTGATTTTAGAACAGCTATAGGCACAACGCGAAGCAGAGTGGTACAGTAATATAGATGTAATGTGTGGTGTGTGTTTATACAGCATTTTACATGTTAGGATGTGACTCAGCCAATCATAATCATGGTGCAGAACTATCCGTTTGAGTAAAAACAATATTAAATGCAAACAACCTGTAGTTGGCTTGGTCTGTAGTATGGGACGCAGACAGCCCCTTTTCAATTCAAACAATAAAATAAAATAAATAAATAAAGTTTTAGAAGAGGATAGAAATAAATGTACTGTCTTTAATTGCAATACACCAGAAATAAAAACCAAACCATTAACAAAAAATCTCATTACTTCTTGTGGTTAGAATTTGAGACAAAACCCAAATTTACATGCTTGTTGCTTCATCACATCGAATATGGTCCAGACTTAGGGCCAGATTTACTAAACTACAGGGTAAATTAGTGTGAGATTTCAATTCCAAAAAAACACTGATGTGAGTGGAAAGTTCTGTGATCTACTGACGCACAAATTAAAGAACACAGACGCAGCCGGATCATTTCCATAATGAACAACGCAATCTACGAAGAGCAGCGCAAATTAGAGTCTGGTTTAGGACAAGCTTTTTTGGGCGTTAAATAATGGTGCAAATAACAGAAAAATTGACTAGTGCAAACCTTAGTAAATCACCTTGCATGATTCATTTAAATACTCTCCTCCTATAAATTTTGCGTCTGAAAGGGAAACTCCTACAAATGCATATGCAATAACGTCAGCCGCAAAAATAACCCTGTCCACGCCTTTTCAGCGCTAATTTTTCACTGCGTGTCTTTAGTAAATCCTGACAGTAGTTTAACGCCAAAAGAGGGTTTGCGCTGGCGCAAACTGATAGTAAATCTGGTCCATTGTGTTATAAAAAATAAAGACATTTTTGAACCAGTTGAAGCAAAACCAGTTGAGAATCACTGATCAAGAGCAATCCATTAACCAAAGACAAAAGCAAAGTAAACTGCTCTCACACCCTCAAGCAGTATGGATGTAGCAAGCTACTTCTATTCACTACTGTGAAAGACATGGTGAACAAACAAAAACAAAAGACAGGACAGGAAAGGGCAGCATGAAGAATGAGACAGTGAAAAGGGGAAAAGAAAAACAACTGCTTAGTGCAAAATTGATTCCCACACTAGTCTATCCCTGTGTTTAAGCTGAGACTGAAGGATTGTGTGGAAAAAAATCATGTCAGGAAAATCCCAAAGGAGGAAACAGTGTGAGAAGGTAACGTGACCAAGTGAGGAAAAACAGGTTTGCAATCAGAATGGAGCGTCTGTCCGCATCGAGAAGCATGCAGCATGTGGAGCAAACAGTGCCAGGAAGTTTGTCATTCATCTTTCTGTGTGTTAGGATGCGCTACGACTTTGCAGCCAGAAGACAGTGGAGCCAAGCAAACAAGAGGGTTCTCCTCTCTCCTGAGAGGCACGGTTAGAGTAGAAAACCCTCTAGGGGCGGAAACAGACAGTGAGCGTGTCGAGCAGGTCAGTCACAGGAAGCGTCGTCTCAGTACCTTGTCGCTATGGCTATGCTCCTCGTTTAGCGTGGTGCTACTGCACGTGTCAACACCTGAATCTTTGACCTGCGGCTCGCACCACTCCACGTCTTCGTCGTGGGAGCGCTCCCAAAATCGCACCACTGTCTTTTGCCTTTCAGACAGGGCATAACTGGCGTCCAAAAAATATGCCTGCTCATTTGTTTTTCTTTTCCCCCTTTGAATGTTGCCTAAAAGTTATGGATGATATAAAAAAGGAGAAGAAACAAAACATGCAGAGGTGAATTAAACGAGGGGAAATGGGGTGAGAGGGTCAGAAGCCTCACCATAGACATTGAGGCGGCCTCGCTATGCCAAGACGCATGGTCCCACCAGTGACCATCCATATCTCCTGAGGACAGCACAGTGAGAGGACACACACTTGTATAAACAAGAAAGAACTTATACAGTCAAATGTACAACATTCATTTACTCGAACACTTTCACATTCTTACAGCTCTCTTAAAGGAATAGTTCAGCAAAAATGAACATTCTGTCATCACTTTCTCACTCTCATGTCAATCCACACCTTTATTACATTCTTTCTTCCTTGAAACACAAAAAGAGACATTTTAAATAATGTACAAGGCATTTTTTGTTTCATGCAATTACAATGAATGGGGAATTAATCTAAGTTTCAAAAAATACATTTGTGACCCTGGACCACAAAATGGGTCACATGGGTACATTTTTTTAAATTGAGATTTACACATCATCTGAAAGATGATTAAATACGTGCTACACTGATGTGTGGTTTGTTAGGATAGGAAAATATTTGGCTGAGATACAACTATTTGACTTTTTTTTTTTTAAATTCGAAACGCTGAGAAAATCGCCTTTAAATTTGTCCATTTATGTTCGTGATTGTGCTACATTAATTCACAAAAATAAATATTTATTATGGTTGGAAATTAACATAATATCTTCATGGAACATGATATTTACTTAATATCCTAATGATTTTGGCATAAAAGAAAAATCGATAATTTTGACCCATACATACAATCTAATGATATATCATTACGCTTAAAGGCAAATCACATCATCTACATGGCACAAAAATGTGTGTACCAAATACCAATAGATGTAAAAAATATATATATATATATATATTTACAGAAATATTGTGATTAAATAAAGTAACTTATTATAACATAAATATGAACAAAATAAAATAAAATAGCATGTATCATGGCATCTTGATGTATTTTTTTCTAGAGGTAAAAAGTAGCACCACACCATGCTAGGTTTCTTTTCTGTCATTCTCTCCATCTCTTTCAGTTTAATGGGGAAGTGAGTGTGAGTGGATGTCTGCTCGCTTCTTACAGTCATGTGACACAAGCCAGCTAAATATATCAGGGGTGTTTTAACACAAACTTTAAAAAAAGAACTGAAAGTGTCTGAAAGTGATGCAGAAACACGTTTTGCATTAATGTAATTTTAATACACAGATTTTATACCAAATAAATAGCTTGATATAATGATGATGCAGTATCGATGTGCCCATCCGTAGTTCAAAAATAAATCACAATTAATTTATTAATGAATTGGAATGATACATTTAAGAGTTAAATTCACAGACTCAATGATTTGGTTTAACTCACTGGATTTGAAGATTATCAATGAAAACTTGGCTCTGTTGCTTATACAAAGCTATCGTATGACTTGGAATATGATGCACAAGTCATAAGGACTACTTTTATTGGACTTTTATGGTCTCCATTCATTGTAATTAATCTTTAAAAAAAGTATTTTTTGCATTCTACACAAGCCTGGAAGTCATACAGGACTAGAACAACATGAGGGTGACTAGCTAAATGATGACCGAATATTCATTTTTGGATCAATTATCCCTTTAAATTAGCATATTGGTAATCAATACTACTTTTCTTTATACACACATTTAAAAAATACAGATATTCAAAGGTGTATAGTGTTACATAAAAGCATAAAAGCCACCACCAAAACTACAAAACACAAAAAAGAAGAAAAAAAAGGCAAAAAGACAGCTTCTATCAGCTTCTTAGGTTAACATCTGACAGTTAGTTTTCCACTGAAGTAAATCACCTGACTCCCATATATCTAGACAGCAGCATTTCAGTTTTTAGTTAAGAAATCTATATCTGGTTGGTTACACACAGATATTAAAATCAAGTGCTTAAATGACATTTAAAACACACATTTGGTTTATTGCTGTTTGATATTGCTCTTTGCTATTGCAAAACGTAGACTACATAATACCACAAAATGCATACTATTTTGTTGTGAAGTTAAATTTTAATTATCAGATATATTTAACATATTATACATTGTGCAAATATGAATACATTAACAAATATTCTCCTTGCAATATCATTGTAACACAAGTAGTTTTAACATAGTAAAGCATTACTTTTAAAAGTAAAGTTTTCCAACTGTAACATTTCAATCGTGTCATTATGCCTAGAAGAATAATTATCTGAATTATCTCAAGTATTATTGTACTGATACCTTCTTACCAGTACAAAACAAAACTGGACTGGATTCATTTATGTAAACCATCATCATAGGATTCACTTGAAATGTGCAAAATAGTTATTTACCTGTGACTGTACCGTCAGTACAGAAGAAACAGTATCTTTGATTAAGAAACCAAGCTGTAGTTTAAAGATGAAAAATATGGCCATTATGCATCAATAACTTTAACAGCCAAATTCAGTGCAATATTACAACAGCACTATAATAAATTAAAAAACAACCTGTATCCTACCATACAGCATAGAAACTTAATATTGCTGAAGTCTGATTACTGCCGCTAACATTGCATCATCCTGCTCCCCATTCCCCTGCCAATAAGCAGTAATATCTGTATTCTACCATGAAAAGAATGAGCATTGTAAAAGCTTACTTCAGTAAACATTACTTCTGCTTTAACATACACCATGCCTCACAAACCGGAAGCATTTGCCATCATGTGTAGACCATCCCCATCGTCCTCAGGAAAAAAAGAATCTGTTCTGTGTAGTCACAATATTATGTTGATAATCCGTCTTTGCTACACCACCTCTTCCAAACCTTGGCAAATTAAAGTTCCACAAAGCTGATTTACTCAACCAGCGTCCACCAGAACTCAAATGCAGCTCTTCAAGTCACACTTGGGTCAGTACTCAAAGATCTGGCACATCCCTTTCAAGGAAGATGTCACACCCCAACGTTTGGCATTTTTATTGCCTATCACTGTGTAGTTCTTTCCCCCTCTCTCTCCTTGCACTGAGATGGAGTTCATGCCTTAGAATAATGAGCTTACTGTTATTCTTGTAAGCCAGCTCAAACACCCTGCCCTACATAGTCCCCGCATCACTACAGACTGTTTCCCTGAGTTTGCCGGGCTGATCTCTGACTCAGAGAACCCCTACACCTCGCTCTTGACTCCTTAGCTGCAAGCATTGGCCTCAATCATCTGCACAGAACCAATAGTCCCATTCCTTTTCTTTAGATTTTCAAACCTTCTAGTTGGGGGGTTTACATGAAAGTGACAGTTCAGAGAGAACAAATAAGTTAGTAAGAAGTCCCCACTCATTTGAGACTGAGGGATACTCCAAAGCACACGGCAGCAGAGTCATCCCCATTCATTAAAATATCAACTTACCACCATTTTCCCTGGCTTCACACAGTGTAGCGTCTCGGTGTGCGCCTCCACCAGTTTGCTACTTTGACCAAATCCTTTTCTCTTTTCGCAGATGGGGAGGGAATTGAATACTTAGAACCAATCAAGTTAGGTTGTCACTGACTGATTGACGTATGTCCAATGGCACCCGATGGAAGGATAAGCTTGTCAGAGATCAAGCTCCTTCCTGTCTACAGTCAAGAAGTGTGCCACGCTTATGAGGTCAGAAGGAGTGATTGGATGTCTGCTACAGTAGATTTGTGGCAACTCTAGAGTTTAAAGTTGGCTGTTAGATTGAGAATTTTGGGAAACAGTCATGGCCTCAAGAAACACCAACATGGTTAGCATGCTAATCCAACAAAATTGTTGGTGTTTGTTGGGGTGGTGTGAACTAGCCATTAGATAGCAGACTGAAACAGAGAGACAAAGAATGAGCGTGGTTGAAGGTAGAAGCAAGTGTGTCTTTGGGACATTCTTTACAATTCTGCTCCACTGTAGTCTCTTGAGTGCATTAAGTAGCTGTGGTGGAGATGTGCCCACTACATATGCACTGGTGCAATTTCACTTTCTGAGTTTGACATGGAAGTGACCCTCTGCAAGTGCCCTCCACCGCAGAGATGCTGGGACTCCCTCTCCCTACCTCTGCAGATGGAGGAAAGGCTCTGGGGAGCTCTCTCTCTCGACTGCTCCTGTGCAAAGAGGCTTATCCAATTGAGTTAATTGTGACCCTGACAACATCAGAGCTTTTATGGTAGGGGCCAGAAAAAACGGGCATATCTTGCATGATAAAAGAAAAAGCAGGAAGAGGAAGGACAGGTACTTCACGGATAGTTAAGAATTTTATATCTGCAATAACTTTATTGAAAAAATAAATAAAATCCTGCTCGTACCTGACTTTTCCTAAAAGTGTATTTTCATTTAAAATGTTTTTAATATAAATTACACATAAGGCAAAAAAACAAATGAACATTTTTACCTATTTCGGCCATAGACGGTCATATTGACCGCACTGAATTTCACGGTATTCTTTTGTTACATTTCCCGTGGTTGACCTTTGTCTGTTAGGAAATAATCAGAAGATTCAATTGCAAAATGACAGATATGTTTATTGAGAGCTGGTCAGATGCTGGGAGAGCTGAGAGTTAAGGCGCGAGCATGGCCGGCTACGCAATACTCGTTCCCTCATCTAGAGAGAACCGAGGTTACGTTAGGTAACCGATTCGTTCTCTTACGAGAGGTTCTCTCGTATTGCGTAAGCTAGCTTACGCTATGGGAACCCATTGTCAACGCCGTGCGCGCCAAGCATCCACAGCATGAGCCCAGGGGGAGAACCCCGGGGAGCCCTATGAGTGGGGAAAAGTATTTTGGCCAGCAAGAGTGCGGGCCAGTGTGCATGTAGTACATAAGCATGTAGTGGGAAGGGAGACAGAGCGGCGGTGCCGGTCTGTGGAAAGTTTTCCATCAGTGCAGCTCACCAGGAGAGCTGTAGCGTATTAGACCGCTAGTAATTTTGCCTGCAGGGCGGGCACTTCCAGATTGTAAAAT